TTTCTGATTGAAAGTTTTCGTTTGGCATGATCAATTTTATAAGCAGCTAATTGGGTCTTTCTCTTCGTTTTGGAGGTCAGGCTAGATCAATTTTTTAATGGGCCCTCCTCTCCCCTGCTACTTTATTCCACCGCATATGAGACCATTTGAGTTAGTTGACAGCCAAGTGTGAGAACTTTTTATGGCCTCCACAGGGGGGCCCACCACAAAAAGAATGGTATATATTTTACCACTTAGGACGGGGTCATCTCTCCACGAAGATGAAGTTTAGCCATTTGGTGGCAGAGGTGTCACCACTTGACGGGGTCACCCCCCAAATGGGGTCGCCCAACAGGCATTTTTCAGACATTTTAAGGTGTCAGCTCACTTGACTTGCCCAAAAAAAATGCAGAAGAAAGAACATTCCAATCCGTGCCGAAATAAGAAAACATCCCTGGCTCTTGGGCAACCCTCGCATGAACTAGGATCAAAACTGCCGGGGTTTAGCATTTCGAAGCAGGGCGGTTAATGACCATTCATTGTCTTACCTGACCCACTTGTTCCCGTTTACGGTCTACACTTTGAGCTCGCTGAGTCAGAGCCTTGATGTATAATTTGTATTTAAAATGCAACAAACCATAATTTTAAAGTCGCCGCTGTGCGTGCAGTTTGTCAAAAGGCAGGATGATGAAGAGGAGGCAACCTGCGGTGCTGCGGACCCAAGAAACGGAATGAAATTATTAAGTATTTGCCTGGCCCTGCAAGTTGGCAGTTGGAGGAACAAAGGCCAAAGCTTTTAAATATTTAATAAGTATACAAAAATGAAGGAATCGGGGAATCGAGAGGGAGGAAGGCATTCGCCTGTTGTTGAGTCATGTCAATTGACTGACTGAGTGCCCCGCTGTGGCGAGGGAAATGGACGTGGAAGTGGAGGTGTAAGTGGAGGTGGAAGTGGGTATGGGAATGGAAGTGGAATCAATACCATGGATGGCCGCCTGCAGGGTTCCCGAGTACTCGTAAGGATATACACACACACAGTCGCACTCTCTAACGTACTAACGGTGACAATAAATGAGTAAAAATGACTTTAACGAAACGAAAATGAAACGACAAACCGACCGACGGACGGACGGACAGGAGGACAAACGGACAGACGGACGAAATCTGTCATCAACACGCCGCCAGTCCGCCAGTGAAGAGCCAAAGATACGAATATACTGAACCTGGATACGAGGCACTCACAGATACCCACGCACACCCATGCGACAGCCATGAAATTTGATACGATGCGTGTGCGTCAGTTGGAGTGAAAATGGATGGAGTGGGTGTGTTCTAAGGGGGGGCAGAAGGACCCAGCACACAGGACCGAGAACAGACCAAAGAAATTTCCATTTTATAATTTCACTCGCATGTTCCTGGGTTTTTTCCAAAAATCTTATTTTAAACTTTTAAATTCAATATGAACCTGATTTACGTGATTTAACGAGACAATAACAATATTCTGATTTAGAGACTCATTAACTGAATCATTACCCTAACATTCTATAATGGTAATTAAATTAGTTTTTTTGTAATTCTAATTACATTTTAAACGTATATTTGGAGTAAATTACTTGAATTTGTAAAATTTTAAACCGAACTCGTTTTTGGGAAATTAGTAGCCGTGTGGATATCGATGACCTATGATGTGCTTTAAGTTCAAAATTCTTTTTAATTTCTTGCTGATCATGTATTTGGCCGTGGAAGTAAGTAAATAAGTAACAAGAACTTAACATTTCTTAACCAGAGGTTAACGAATATTTCAGGTTATTTCCGTAGTTGACTTTAAAAATATTAAATGCGAAGAATTGGATAAAAAGTTTAATACTTTTGAATATTGTCATCTAAAGTCTGTGAACAGGACATACAAGTATTTATCGCTTAAAGTCAAACTCTTACAACTTCCAGTAAAAAGTGTTAAGGTATGCACAAATAGGTATATTTTTCTCCAGGGACTTAATAATTTGATCTTAGGTCAATGTGGCACTATACCAGCGTCTCAATGGATATAAGCCCTTCCTCTACAATATAACCGTGGATGCCTGTAAATTCTTTAAGAATCAGAAATCGAATCCAGTCGCCAGTTACTTTTATGATTTTTTTAGAGAGTTCTCCAACATAAATCACTCCTGTCCCTACAACGTAAGTAGGAACTCTAGAAACGGGAATAGATTGTAAAAAATCATTTATTTTTAGCATGATCTCGTAGTGGATAAGCTATCGGCCAGCGCTGTAAATCACCGCTTGACTAGTATTCTACCTTTTCCGGAGGGAGAGTACATGATTCAAATGAACTGGTTTGCGTACGACATCAACAGATCTGTATTTAAAATATATTTTGCACTATCTTGAGTTTTTGATAATGATGTAACAAACATATAAATGTGTATTTCTCACAACTAAAGACTGTTGTGTGTTTAAATAAATAGAAAATAACAACCCTAAGGCATTAAAAATGCCTTATAAATATATCAAACTCCAGCAGGCATCGATTCGAAGTCCAAAAGAGGGTGGTTTGATGGGTTATGACCGGCCAGATTAATAGAGCTCCAAATTTTTATTTGTTTTGCTGCGTCCGCCAGTCCTCAGAGATATTTACTTTATGCTTCGTCTAAGAATTAATAAAGAATATCGTGATTTATGTACAGCCAGGGGCGTCTTTTGGGGAGGGGCTAAACTTCCGCTTTATTGGCCAGACATATGACGGAATGACAGTACTTTGAGGTTATGTTTCATTTATGCTGTTGGTTTTATTGAGCCTGGCAAAATATGAACCATTGATGGCATTTTATTGTTATTACCAGATAAACTGCGGGGTTCCCCGGGCTTTCGCCAAGTATAACATAATTTTAGTGTGTTGTTTTGCCACAAGGCGGGGGAGTTATGATTTTCATTAGGATATTTCGTTTTGTGGGCATATTAATTCGAGAATTTATGAATTTTTCCCCATGATTTGTTTACCTTCCCTACGGAGATTGCTATATAGGGCTATAATTTGTAAAATATCCCTAGTCCCGTGTCTTCGCATTTACTCGTCAACCTTTTGACTCCAGGGGCGACTCTCGTGGCTGGTGAAATTTACAACCTTACCTGTCCTAATCCCGGTGATGCAGCATCCACGCAGCAACATATTTCACTTCTCCTGGCCGGAGAACAATGCGAAGGCTTTTAGGGGCAACAGCGAGGAAGACGCTACGGTCTGGTCTGGTTTGGTCTGGTTTGGTCTGGCCTGGTCTACCTGACCCGAAATGCGGAAAACAAAAGCCGAGATGAAAACAAAACTACATCGCAGAAGAGCTCAACTGCAACACGCATTGCACCTGGGATTCCGATGGGATGGAATGGGATTGGACAGGGGTTAGGGGATTGGGTGGAACTAGCGTACGCCTCGGATTCTCCCTTTCGGTTTTTTTGTGTTTTTTTCGTTTTATGGATTTGTGAAACATTTTATAACTTTTTTACATGGAAATGATGTGTGTGTGCGAGTGCCGCAGGTGGGGCTGTTTATTATGGTAGCCTCGAAAACAAGTTGAAACCGGAGACACCGGAGAGCGACAAACTAAATAATGCCCGAGCTTTGTATTTGTCCATTTCGATGATGAGCCCACACAGTCGAGATAAAGATAAATACGAGATAAATGAAGATTGCGTTTCGGCACTCGAGGCGCCATTGTAATAATAAAGCCACCAAACAGGGAAAAAAGGAAAATCATAATAATAAAATCCAAGCCTAAATCAAATAGAGCATAATCTGCTGAGGGACTGCGACCGAGTTGTACACTTGATCGTCATCATCACTTGTTGGGGGCAGATCAAGAAAACGAAAACGAAATGAAAACGAATGCGTGGCACAAATTGAATCTGATTGTTCAAGTAGTCAGGTCTCGGGTCCCTCTGTATCTGTATCTGTATCTGTATCAAATGTAAATCAGAGGCAGCGGGCATCCATCCCAGCCATCCCCCTGCAATCGCTTTATTCAAATTCAACTCAAAAACAGCTGCTACACTTCATTACCATAAGGTTCGCCTTGGATAGCACTCCCAATTCCAATCCCCTCCAGCATGCAATTTGATGTGTGATTATGCCTTTTTGTTGCTTATCAAAATGAAAATTCAAATTCAACTATAACAGCACATTGTTTACAACGCCCCCGAAACCCCTTTCGTTGGACCCTGAAAAGATCCCAAACATAACCCAAACAAACCCAAACGGCAGCCACACTTGGAGAGCTGCAAAAGTGACACTTCTAAGAGATTAAAGTGACATGTAGTGGTCCGCATATTCAGGCTATATGGCTATGCGACGGACTGTCTGACGAAGAGCTGCCGACACCTTCCACTCTTCCACCACTCGAAAGTGGGGAAAGTTGAGGGACAGGCCGGTAGAGGACAGGACGGGGGAATTACGAGTCGAGTACGAGTGTTTGTTGGGCTCTATGCATAGATTAATAAATTATAAGCCGCTTCTCTGAATGGAGTCGCTCTGATTACACTCACAGAAAATGGGTGAAAAGCACAGCTTACGCTCTCTTGAACAACGAAAATTAGAGGGGGATGGAATTGTATGCCCAGAAGCAGGAATTAATCAGATTAATAAAAAGTTGTTGGAGAACTGCGCCTTTCATGGGCCAAATTTCTAAAAATAAATCCAATTGGTGAAACTGAAAAAAGGTTAAATGTGGAAACATTTCTACGAAAAATTTCTTTTCGGTATATTCTCTTTGATCAGGAGAAAGGTTAATTTACAGAGTCAAGAGAGAAATAATATATTCTGTTCAATTGAAATAAACTATATGAGATTGATGATTCTAATGACATTTTAAATTATTTTTGATTTTAATGTTCCCATTTAAATTGATAAGTGATCAGTGGACATTAAATATAAGTCAACACAATTTGCATTTTTAAATTAGTATTCTTGTGATCAGCGATGCTTTATGATGGGACTAAAAATAAAGCTACTACTCAATTTTATACTGATCATGCAATTGTTCAGTGATGTAAGTAGATAAAATCAGCTAAAGAAGTCCTAAATTAACCGCTGTTAACTTACATTTTAGACACATTCTTTGGTCGAATTCAAGAATATTAAGTGTGAATCGGTGGATAAGGATTTTTGCACTTTTGACTATTGCCATTTGAAGTCTGTGAACCGGACATATAAATACTTTTCCCTTAGAGTCAAATTGTTAAAGCTTCCTGTCACCAATGCTAAGGTATGCGATATTCTTGTGTTCGAAAGAATCTAAAATTGTTACCTAGGTAAATGGTGCACTTTACCAACGACTCAACGGATACAAGCCATTTCTCTACAATATAACAGTGGATGCCTGTAAATTCTTCAAGAATCAAAAGTCCAATCCCATTGCTGGTTTCTTTTACGATTCATTTAAGGAATTTTCCAACTTAAATCATTCTTGTCCCTACAGTGTTAGTATTTCGTATAAAAAGTTAAAGAAAAAGGCAATGTTATTTTAAATAATATTTTCTTAGCATGACCTTGTGCTGGAAAAATTAACTGCATCATCGGTAAATCATCGAGTGACTAATATTTTACCTTTTCCGGAGGGAGAGTATATGGTACATTTGAACTGGATTGCTTACGGCAGCACCCGAGCTGTATTTAAAATATATTTTGCTCTTACGTAAATTATATATTAGCCAGTAATAAATGATATCATTGGGTATATTTAAAAAATATAAAAAACCAATGCCTCCAAATCACCGTTCTTAATTTATCACTGATAAATTATTAGTGCTTAATGCAATAGTTAACTTGGAAGTTCAATAAAATGCAATTATTTTATTACCTATTCAAGGAAACCTGCATTTTCTTGGGTTTCTCGCAGTGCACCTTTCGCTACCCTGTTCGCTTTCTTTTCCACTCAACTCCTGGGGGAAAACGGCAGTCAGTCCCCTGAGCATATGTACGCCTCCCCCCGGTCCCCTTGAATCCGAGGGACCATTCCATCCATCTGATTTTCCTCCGCCGCCTCCGCTTCAGAATACGAACGTGGATGTGAATGTGGAGCAATTAATGTTTGTGTTTTGTCATTTCAAGCCCGACATTGCCCGCTGCTCCTCCTTTTTCTTCTTCTTCTGCCTCTGAATGGGGATGCTGTTTTTGTTGTTCTTACATTTTATGCGCATAATTAAGTCGGTGTATCCGTAAAAGTATGCGACACTTCCGGCTTGGACAAGTCCCTATTGGAACTGTGCTTTGTACTGCCTTTTCCTCTGATTTTATTATTATTTCTTTTCTCATTGTAATACAATTCATTGGGCATTGAGCACTGGACCTCGGAACTCTTTCTTTCGGACATGTTCCTTAACATGACATTCTTGGGGAGTGGGGGTGGGAAATAAAGAAGCTGCGGAAATGCCAAAGCACGAAAGTAGAAAGACGATGATGACGATCAGCTGCGTGGAGAATCGCTGAGAAGGAAATTGGGAAAATATTTTGATGTGCTGTAAATTGTCGATTATATCGCCAGTCTGCTCAGTCCCCATATCATAAGATACAATCTCGATTATCTACGCTTGAAATTATCATTTACATTTGACAGATCTTTCCTGTTCCCTTAGACCGTAATTGATATCTGTTTTTGATTCTTCTTTTTACTGATAATTATCATTTAGAACCTCTGTATAATATAATTATGGTTGAGATCTTTCCACTTTGACAGTCCGTTTCTGTTTTATTTCAGTTTTCAACATTTTATAGATCCATAATCGTTGGATACTTGAGCACTAATTGAGGGTCTCATGTCTGGGCATTGGAATTGGCTAGCCCCACAAAGCTCTATGTTTTTTTTTTTTTTAGGGTGAACCTGTTTTAGGGAGTGGGCAGAAATTCCAAATAGTTGTCTGGGTCTTCATCTCGAGCTCCATCTCCATTTCCATCTGATATATTGATTGTTTGCACTTTGTTTTCCCGTTTCTGCTTTGTCAACAGTTTCCCCGTATTTATTGTGATTTTTTTCTGTACTGCTCCCATTGATTAAGACCCCCGACATTTACTCCATCTTCAGCTCGACATGTTTGACTTTGGGCCACGCTGACTTCAGCTTAATCCCTCGGTGGGCGGAGGTCTCCAACTTTGATATGGCTTATCTCTGTTTCTGTCTAGCGATGGGATGGTAGGGGATAGGGGGGAGTACCAGAGCAAGAGATTTTGACACATGTCATAGGCAATGGACAAACAGAGTCCACCTCCCCAAGAGGGATTCGCCGCTCTCCACTAACCACTCCGTCGTGTAAGCCACAAAAAAACAAATCACTTGAGGGCAACCCCTCTCCCCAGTGGCATTATTTGAATTAAGTGCATACTTAAGCGTAATTTATTGGAAAATCCACAAGAGCCTCCGGGCGGCGACTCTCGGCAGATTGAGCCGGGCGCCTCCTCCATCTACCATAAATCTATTGTTTCAGTTGGTGCGAGGTCGCGTCATTAATCTGCAGACGTCTCTCTTAGTCCAGCCTGAGATTTCTTCTGAGCAGCAGATGACATTCTATCTATGTGCCTATGTGTCGGGTTTATTTGTGCCCGGCTCTATTTGAATAGTTCTCTGGCAAAAGTCTTGGTCTTATCTCCTGACTGTCAGACCAAATGGCAGTAAAAAGAGTGAAAAGTGTGGGGTGATGGGGTTGGAAAAATCGTTAGATTTTAGAGTACAATGTGCGGGTGGGTTGTTTATTGGGTTGGGTTGTTTGGATTTCTGCAAACGACATCGATTTCATTTAATATGCCAAGTGCCCATTTGAAAAACCCTGCTAACGGTCATTGTTTATGCATTAAAATAACCATTTCTGCTCATAATAATAAGTGGAATATAATCATCAAATCACAGAAATGGGGCCAAATAAGAAATGCAATTTAGTTCAACACATATTTTAATTACGTCTAAATAAATATTTATGCCAAAATTTAATGTGTTTATTTAACTGGGAAATGTTGGTGAAATTATCTTGTACAAAACAGTTGGTGGCAAAATTCAGACAACATTAATTGTAGGAAATTCGGAATATTTCTAGATAAATATTAGTTTATAATTTCTGTTAATGTGGAAATTTGCATTATACCTCAAATTCTAATTGGAAATCTACCCTGGCTCCGTGTTGCCCATTTAATTTGCAAACACAAATCACTTTCTGGTTATAACTCTCAACTAAATTGATATTGAGTGCCTTGGATTCTTCTTGGTATCAAATTATTGTTGTTTTCCTGGCTTAGCTTAATTCGTTGGCACTCTAGACCAACGACCACTGGCAATTTCCAGTTTTAGTTGGACTTCGAAGCGGGCCTCTTGCCTATAAGCCTCCGTCCACTCCCCGGATTCTTGGGCATCCGCATCTTGGGCCCAAGAAGAACGAGTTATTGGCATGCATTGAATTTGCTTCGGAATTTGTTGGGCTATATGTATGTACAGGGGGGGAGTGAGCAAAGGAGGAGTACTGGAGCAAAAGAGTAGACAATCAGTGGCATGTATAGAATTTCACTGATTTATGTTTCATATGAGCCGACTATGAGGTGGAGATTCCCTCAAGGCAGGAGCATAGCAATGGCATAACCGAGCAGGATGAACAGGATGAGCTGCAGGATGGAGGAGCAAATCCTTCGGCCGGGTGACAATGCAGTGATTACATCTTTTGAGCATACATATATATACACACCCCCGCAATTTCCGTGATGTGAAAGGCATGCCTTTGCTGCCGTTCAAAAAATATTTCCTCCAGACTTTCAGAGCTTCGCAGGGAAAAAAGGGGACAGCCCCCCTATATGATAAATTTTTGATTAAAGGCCCCCATGCCTGCTCTTGATAGGTTCAGTTCTCTTCTTCTCCGCACACTTTCATGTGTGTATAATATGCATTCCGTTTGTATGGAGGAAAGCTTGCTCAAATTACGTTTGACATTCAATTGAGTTAAAGTTGATTGCCAGTTAAGTGAAAACAGAGCAAGATATATGGATATATCGGGGAAAGCGATTTTTGACAGCCCAATGCTGATTACTCCAGTTATCCAATAACCGAAATATTCTTCTGGCAGTCGGAGGCATCAATCGCGGCTGTCATTTATCCAAATGTTAATTTAAACAATTAATAGCAGAAGCAACGAACGAGCGAACTGGATGGAGTGCCTTAAACATGTCAATTTGCAAATTAAGTACACAACATGACAGACCAGCAGCGAAAGAGATGGCGAGACAGCGAGCGAAAGAGATGACAGACCACACAGAGCCAAATATAGATCGAATCTGAATCTGAATAGTTAGCCTGGGGAATGTAAATGAAGACTGGCACTTGAGAGGGCAGAAGAAACTGAAACAGCAACAGCAGCAGAGGGTCATTAGAAGAAACCAGAGATTTAATTGGGCCAGAGTGCTCTTAAATATGATTTGTGAGTTCCCCAGAGGAATCGAAAAGCGGAAGCCCAGAGATTACAGATGCGAGTAATTACTAGATGAGCTTCCAGATAGCATAGTTCCTCAGTTCTGGTAGGTTAGGGCAATATAGTCATTTCAAATGGAACTAAGTCAACTTTGGCCCGAGGAAATTTGGATTTTAAATATGATTTATGCGTTACCTTAAAGAAAAGCAAAAGCCTAATACTACAGACCTCAATAATTACTGAATCCGCTTCCCAGAATGATAATTTCTTAGTTTTAGTTCACAAAATTATAGAAAAATTGGAAATTACTTGTATTTTATATATCGAAGCGCCCTGACAATATAATCATTCATTCATGTTTATCCAAATAAAAACTCTTTCTTAATATTCCCATGTTTACTTGTTGATACGGAATTTTCCCCCAGAAAAACACACCATATGCCATCCAAACAACTGATAATTGTAGTTTTCTGGAGGTGATTAGTGGTCGTTGCTACCGCTCATTCCGACAGGTGTTTCAGGGGATGGTTTTTCCTCAAAAAGAAAAAAAAAATAAAAAAGAGAGAGGAGCTAATTTGTGGCCAAGCAATATATCATGGCATTACAGACGACAGTTGAGTTTTCGTACCTCCAACTTCTGCCACTCAACTTCTTCGTATATATAAGTATGTGTAGCTTTAAAGTAAAATAAATATACATCGCAGAAGCGCACGGGAACTATATTTAAACGCTCAGTCAATGGCAATTTCCTGCTGTTGCCGATGCCTTGCCGAATTTATAGATAATTTTTCATGATTTCCCCGACACATTCTTCATTCTTTCCCAATCTCTCGTTGCAGATGCGCTCAGCAGGTCGCTGCGATGCCCCCGAGCTGCTGCTGCTGCCGGCGATGCTGATGATGATGAAGTTGCTGCCGCTCTCGGTCCGTTTTAGCTGCTGACAGCCAAGTGCAGTATCCGCAAGATACCAGATAGCATTTGGAGGAGAGATACCCGAAACAAAGGAAAGGAAAAGTGCATTTCCTGCTACCTAACTTGGTGTTCTACCTACGACGCCCGGTCTCCGATTCTACCTACGATTGCGGGAGGGAGTTACAAAGAAGAAGAAAGAGAGTAACTCGCCACTCGCTACTCGTTACTTTTCGACCGCTCGCCGTTACAAGACATCATCTGCCGCTCACTTCGGTCAAGAAGCGCGTTCGCGACGGCTGCAAAAGAGCGTACCGCGTACCGCCGTAGGAAAAGCGGAGTTTTCCCCGCCTTCGAGCAAAAAGGATTTACAGTGAAAACCAGTGAAGTGAAAGTGCCATCATCAATCCTTTTTTTTCCCCCGACCCCTTCGAAATATTTACCCAGTGGTGATTGCTGTTGACAAAGTGGATTGGCATTCGGGGGACACTTTCAATTAGGCACGTTGCCGCTGCTTCATAAATGTGCCACAATGGCCACGCCGTCCAGGACGACGTCGTCGATGCCACCACCCTTCCGGGTACTGATACCCTTCCTGATCCTGCTGCTCCTGCGCCATGATGCGCTCGTCGTCCACGCGGAACCCTATTCCGGTGGCTTCGGCAGCTCAGCGGTGTCCAGCGGCGGGCTGGGGTCAGTGGGCATCCACATACCCGGCGGCGGAGTGGGCGTCATCACGGAGGCAAGGTGCCCCAGGGTCTGCTCCTGCACGGGATTAAATGTGGACTGTTCGCACCGAGGACTCACCGCCGTGCCCAGGAAAATCTCAGCGGACGTGGAGCGACTGTGAGTATTAATCGAAATAAATACCCTAACGTGTGATTGAGAAAGATGTGAGGTTAAATATTATTGGTAATTTCTTGGAAATATTACAACTCAAGGCTAACAGACCCATTAAATCCCCTCATTGATTGCAACTTAAAAATCACTTTGAAATGTGAGTGCTTTATTCTCGGTATTCATCATTCAATTACCACACCTCCCTTTCAAATGCAGCCATAAATCAATATTAAATTCACAATTATATTGAAATTCCATTATGCAAACAATCTGAGCAGACGTAAAACCAACAGAAAGACAGTAAGACTTCCCCCATGGGACAACAAAGACTTCCGTTAAGTCCCCGTTTGCCATTTGCCATTTGCCATATTGATACCTAGCCATTTCGATTCGTTTAGTTAGGATCGCCGCCATTCGGATACTTTCTTCTGGCTGCATGACAAATTCCAATTATGGAATGCCCTTTCCTTCCTTCCTCCACTTCCCCATTGCCAATTGTTCAAACATTGAGCACACTCTATTAAAATAATAAAGCCGGACCCGGACGCACACGCCCGCTGCTGGCCGGGATTGTTCCGATTTCCTACTTGTATTTATTTAAAAATCAGCATAGGCAAACAACAGCAGCAGTTCAGGGTAGTTGGTCTGTAGGATTCTTGAATTCCTGGTGTGGGGAAATAAATAAAGCCATGACCATGTCGTCGTGTCGATAGCGATAAAGGAGGGTCTCGAGGGTCCAGAGAACGACGATGACCAGAACCCAAGCCCCAGGAAAAAGAGAGTTGTTCCTTTTGCGAGCTGCTTACATTAAATCGCCATTAAGTTTATTAATTGTCGCCGAAGGAGCCGCATAAGCGCATCAGTGGCCAGGCGGCAATAATTGTTGCATGTTGCGGAGTCGAATGCATTAAGCCAATGTGGCAGTGGCTCTGGCCATTCCGAATCCGATTCCGACTCCATCTCCGTCTCTGTCCATCGCTCACAGTCGCCACATAAATTAACGCGCCGGCAATTAGCAAGTGTATGCAAAATACCACCTCCTCTGGCTCCTCCACCTCTCAACTGCAACCTCAGCGGCCTCAAAAGCCCGCTGTCGTGGCTGCAGTTTTTCTACATAAATTAATAACAGATATCAGGGGCAGCAGCAGAGGCAGTTGCAGCGGCAGCGGCAACAGCATTAACGTTATAGCATTATAGCCCAGTTATAAGCAGTCGGGCCAACTCGGTTGGCTGAATGGCAGAATGGCTGGCAACTGCGCTCAGGGACACATTTGGCTGCTGTTGTTTGCGCTCTTTTATTTTTCGCATTTCTCGTATTTATTCGTTTTTAATGCTGAAAACAGAGAGTAATATAAAACACTGAAACGAGCTGTGAGCCAACAGAAACAGAAACAGAAAACATATCAACATGCACGACATATTTGCATTTTAAAATAGAGAACCGAACAGGGCACGAAAAACACATACTATCCCATAAACAGGGTGTCTCAGGGCCCTCGAAGCATAATATATGTCCTATTTTTTGAGTGACATTCCATTGGGAGAGATGAGATTTCGATTCCTGGTGTCAAAGTGCGCCGGAGAATGTGTCAAGAGTCTTAAGTAGAGCTTAGGCGGGGCTGGAAAAGAATCAACAAGAAAATAAAGCAACAGCCAGGTGAGGATGTGATGGAAAGGCTCTTGGGGGAATTATGATTTCAACAGATTATATAGAAGCGGGGAATTAATTCCCAAAGCCATCAAACAGGGGAAGACTCCAGAGGTGAAAAATACTTTTGTTTCAATGAAATTGAATACAGACGAGCCGCTCTAAGTCGCATTGTCTGTGGCACGTATGAATTTAAGTGAATTACAAAGCTCAAATTTCTCCATCACGTTTTGAAATTTAATTTATAAAAGGCAAAACTATTGAACATAAATCTGCAGATATATTTTCTTAGCAGTTAAAGATTCAAATATTCATTCCGATAGAGAAGTTCACAAGAAAAAATAGTTTATGCCACCATAAGTCTCCTTAATCTGCGTTCAAGTTTAGCAAATTCGATTTTCTTCCGATTATGTGCATATAAAATGGTTTCATGGATTAAATGGCTGCCGAACACTAAGCCCGAGACCCTGAGACACCCTAGCGCAGAACCTTCTAACCCGGCACACAAGCATACATCAAATATTGAACATGCCCACAACTATTGGGCCTGTCGATGTGAACGTATATAGGAATAGGAATATATAGAGGAGCCCGAACAAAAAACAATGGCAAATGCAAACTGGGGCTCTGGCAAATTGTGCTCCCCAACCCAAACCCCCCTTCCGAGCGAATGGCCCCGCTCATGTCATTGCCATTTAATTACAAAGCCCCCGAGCGGAGAAAGGGGGCTGTGAGCGGTAGAAGAGCCCGAGGAACAGAAGAGTTCTAAGCTGACAGGCTGCCAGTCACCCACACAGTTGATTCAATTGACACGACAGCATTTTTGCATATCTAATTTGTGGAAAACGGGGGTCTTGGGTCTCGGTTCTCGGGTCTTGCTACCTAGATTGGTGGGAGGTGGTGGCCCTTCACACCTGAGAACGACTAATTTATAGCTGAGGCAGCAGTGGCAGCTGCTTTTGATGTTGCTCCTCGGTTCTTTTGGTTTCGAAAAGGGAAAAGGAACCAGAACCAGAACCACCTGGCCACAAAAGAGCAAGCCCCAAGATGGCATCTAATTGGCAGCGGAGGGCGAAAACCAACAAAAGCCTTTTATATCGCCAGCCCCACACGCATCTAATGAAGTTAAATGCTTAATTATAAGCCAGGGAAAACGGCAAAAATTATGCATACTGCCCTGTCGTTCGAACCAAAAGTGATTTAAACAAATTACATAAAAACCACCGCCAGAAGCGTTTGAAAAATGTTTGGCAATTAGATGGCTACAAGCAAGACTTTTGTTTTTATTTCTACACACCAACAAAAGCGAAACAAAGCGTATTGAAAATGCTTATCGACTAACTTGTGCTGTTTGGTGTTACAGAGAGAAAAATAAGATAGTAAATAGTAAAAAAATGTTATAAAATTTTGGAACTCTAAAGATTAGTTAACTTTTGTTACTAGGCCATCATAATCATGTAATATTGTTAGATTTTTCCCCGTGTAGTCACTCTGGTCGGTCGGCTGTAATCAGTGGGATCTTCACAAGAGATGCCCACATCTCAAAGAGATATTAAGCTCATTAAAAAGACGTGTATGTGTGGATGGCTGGAGACTATATGGGTGAACCGAGGAGCAGGCTGCTTCTTCTCCATCGGCAACTTGATGCGAGATTCATTAAGGCTTAAGCCGCACAGAAAATATTTTACGTTTGGGTCGCCGAAGGTCTTCCTACCTGTTGTTCGGGCCCCGAGATCTCTGGGTCTCGAAACATACGAACCTTACTCAAAAAGTGAGCAGCTGAGACCAACTTGTTTGTTGGTCGGCTGCCTGTAGATGGTTGCGCATGCGCACACGGTTAAGTTAAGTCTTTTGTATCTCTTTTTCGGTTGCATTTCATTATGACATCTACAGGTAACAAATTCTCTGTATTTCGCTGCGAGAAACGAGTTCTGGCGAGAGGAGTCGTCGAATCGTCCCGTGTTCAATGATTAAATATCATATTTTCGTTATCAGCAACAAGCGGCGGAAATCTCTTACTCTTTCTCGCTCGGGATCCCCCTTGGTTTTTCCCTTTGGCAGCTGCATTCATATCTCAGATTGCTGTTGTCTTCTTGTCTTACAAGCAATTAAAAAAAATTATCGCCCTGTGTGTGCAGTATGAGTGCCTCTTGGGTTGCATCCATCCTTCCTTGCAACATAATTAATGCAATTTCTGTAATCGTAATTTCTTTATCTATATTCGCAGCGAGTTGCAGGGCAATAATTTGACCGTGATATACGAGACGGATTTCCAGCGACTGACCAAGTTGCGAATGCTGTAAGTTCAAATCATGGTGCATTAAGTCGAAAATTGGCCGATTAACCCGTTGATTTTTCCACAGCCAACTAACGGACAATCAGATCCACACGATCGAGAGGAACTCCTTTCAAGATTTGGTCTCTCTAGAGCGACTGTGAGTATTCCTATAATAGAATATTTATATAACATATCTCCTAATAATGCTAGTTGCATGATACGATATTTTTGAACTCACTACTAACCAATTTTTGAAGATCTCCACATTGGATCAATTAATCAATACATTTTTTCTTAGACCTAGAATATAGCTAGCGTGCAAATTGAATTTAGCTTGATGCCAGATTTAGTTTGAATTATTAACATTTTGTATCTGATTCCCGTTTTCGTTCTTGTTTATTTTTATTGCATATCTCTACCGTTCTTTGTCTCTCTCTGCTTTCGTTACGTTTCGTTTTGCGTACCTAAAATGCTCGTCTCTACACCAAAAAAAAACCAAAAACCAAATCAAAAACCAAAATCGAAATCAAAACACCAAAAAAACAAATCCAACACTGTAATCAATCAGACGCCTAAACAACAATCGACTAAAGGCAATTCCTGAAAACTTAGTGACAAGTTCAGCGAGTCTTTTGCGATTGTAAGTAAACTCCAAAGTAGCCGATAGTAGTCGACACTCGTTACCCTTCGCTTTGGGATCCCTTACTTATATGGTATTTATAATCCTCCAGGGACATCTCCAACAATGTCATCGTCACGGTGGGAAGACGCGTCTTCAAGGGAGCCCAGTCGCTGCGGAGTCTTCAGCTGGACAACAACCAGATCACCTGTCTGGATGAGCACGCCTTCAAGGGACTGGTGGAGCTGGAGATACTGTGAGTATTTTTTCTAGACTAGAACTAAACCGAAGTGAAGGGACAGAATGGCCAAATTAGCGGGCCAATCAATGGAACTGCTCGCCGCCAGTCGAGCCGAGTAATTAATCAGTGATTTAGTGCCTTGAGTTAATCAATCAAGCGGGAATTAGTGAATGAATTAAAAATCAATCAGTTAATGCTCTGCCTAAATTACATAATAAATGGTTGGGCTTTGTGGCCAGATAAGCCAATCGCAGCCGAAATGGAGCTAATATATCAAATGATTGGAAGGGAGCGAGAGGAACAAGTTGATATATGTGTGGGCAAAAGCTAAACTGTTTGTTAAGCGAAGTGTAAATCGGGATTTAACTTACATTATTTATTTGCAAAAACGAAGAACAAAGCATTTGATATTAATAAATAAAACCATGCTAAAAGTGATTTTAACAAACTAGGTCAAATTTTTGCTAACCAAGCTAATTTACTATTTTACCAATTAAAAATTCTAAACATTTTAAATGAAAATGTTTAATAAAATATGGTGTTTTCTATTGACTGATTATATAATTAAATGGTAAATATTTCAATTATTATAAAAATTCAGTTAGCGAATTACTAGTCTACTCTTTATAAAAGGAGGATTTAAATTGGAAGTTTTTGGGAGAGTGCAAACCATTTAGGTATGAACCTGGAAAGGCGATGAACGCCAAACAATTTTAATTAAATTTCGATCGGCACTAGATTTTTACTCTTTTGGCCTGGCCAAGCCTTCCGAGCCATAAGCATAACTGGTCTATAGATATAGTGGGCTGATAAGGCCGGATCATCTGCTATCCACTGACCATAACCGCCTCGCCATTCTATATTTTTTGCAGCACGCTGAACAACAACAACCTGACATCCCTGCCGCACAACATCTTCGGCGGACTGGGACGTCTGCGGGCACTCCGGCTGTCGGACAATCCGTTCGCCTGCGACTGCCATCTGTCCTGGCTGTCCCGCTTCCTCCGCAGCGCCACCCGCCTGGCGCCCTACACCCGCTGCCAGTCGCCGTCGCAGCTGAAGGGCCAAAACGTGGCGGACCTGCACGACCAGGAGTTCAAATGCTCGGGTATGTAATGGTGTTTTGTGTGCAACATGTTGTGGCAGCTTCCACTCCCTGAATGCTACCAAAAATGGGCAACGTTGGGAAAACCCACCCGCTGCATAGTCGAAATTAATTAGTTTTTTATGCCAAACGCGAGGAAAACAAAACATTGCGGGTATAAATCATAAGCAGTCATATGGGCACGCCCCCGCTGCCTCGAACGCCCACGAACGTACCACAATATCTGGCGAGAACCACTTGGTGCTTTGGTGGCTTCATCTCCATCTCCATCCATTGGTTATATCCCCCTTTTCGCCTGCGAGGTCGTGTGTTTGCCAAAACGTTTAACGCCGTCGAAATCATTGCCTGGTGTTTGTATTTTTTGGCTTCTCCTCTTACCGAAAGATGCAGATGCTCTGATGCTCGGGCTTAAGTTGAAGATGGAGCTGCGGGCCAAGTGAATGGGAAGTGGCCAAAACGAAAAACCAAAGCTAAAGACTCAGCGTGAAGCGCTCAATGAAGCGGAAAATGCGCCCCAAAACGATGCAGCCATGAAACGAGTTTCTTGGCTCAACCATTTCAGCTGAATGGTTAGGGTATCGCATTGTTTTTCGTTGTGGTTTGCTTTTTCTGGGGAGCCTGTAATCGATATGAGTATGCAGATGGGATGGTATATCCCCGAATGACCCGTGTCAAGTGGGATAATAGAGGCTACAATGATGAGAACTCTGGTGATAAAACATATTTCGGAGAATTTTTCTAGTCTTGGAATATGTGTGAATAATAGATTGGGTCTCGAGGATTAATGAGTAAAATTATCAAATTTCAAAATATATTAATATTTAATTGATCCTTAAATAATATAAATATTTATTTGGGTAGTTTACTTTTATAAGTTTAATCCAATCCTTTAATAGTAGAGTATTCAGACTTCCATCTTATCATAAAACTGAACTATAATTCCTTTCTTGTTTGACTTTCGTTTTGTATGAAATGCTATGGAATTATGTGGGTAAACATTTATGACCAGCGGCTGGTTATAGTTGCACCTCCCCAAACCCGAACCCATTTCCCCAGTCTCCTTACATCCGCAACCCCCTTTTAATCCCGCCATTCGAACTATGGAGCAGCTATGCAGTAGCATTGATAATTATGCTACTGCTGGGGTTGCACAGCCAAAGCCAAAGATCCAAATCGGATGGTCGTTTTCCCAGCTACTGGAGTAGTTAAAGCCCCACTTCATCTCGAACCAGAGCAAGAGCGACTTATCCCAATCTCGGCTAACCATATTGTTTGTCCATCAGGTCTGACGGAGCACGCACCCATGGAATGCGGGGCGGAGAACAGCTGTCCGCACCCCTGTCGCTGTGCGGACGGGATCGTCGATTGCCGTGAGAAGAGTCTGACCAGTGTGCCCGTCACTCTGCCCGACGACACCACCGAGCTGTAAGTGGTGCCTCTCATTTGCGATGTGTACTCAGGAGTTAACCCCTTACTTTTGTTTTGCAGCCGCCTCGAGCAGAACTTCATTACGGAACTGCCGCCGAAATCGTTCTCCAGCTTTCGACGATTGCGACGCATCGACCTGTCCAACAACAACATATCCCGGATTGCCCACGATGCCCTAAGCGGCCTAAAGCAGTTAACCACTCTGTAAGTAGATAATGCCCACGGTGGTGGAGGTTAGGAGGAGGTGGTTTCTGCCACTTTACTTGCCAGCGCAGTGCAACAAGTAGCCATTGCAGAACAAAATGTGCACTCACTTGAGCTGCCCTGCTGCACTGCTAACTGAAGGGGTAAACTCACCTGAACCGAGTGCTGAATGGGAATGGGAATTTGAGAGGTACCTTTGGGCCAGGCCAGAAGCGAGCTAATCGGCCCACGCTTGGCGTTTCTGCCAGCTCACACCGCCAGGCATCGGGCATTGGCTTACCTGTGTGGATCTCCTTGCCCTGACGCCCAGCCAAAGCTCCTTCTCCCCCATCTCCTTCTCCTTTGCCACAAGGAGCACGTGTGCGATGGAGCTGGAAACGTGACACGGACTTAATTAATGGAAGCCACATTAAAAGGGGTTTATTTTCTGCATTTTAGAGTAGGTCACCTTTTTTTGGGGGTGTGCTTTTTACAACTTGAACCCGGCAAGAGATTTTATTTGGGTTTTATTCTCAGAAAAGGGTAGTTTTAATTAGTTATGTATTAAAGTACAATTTAATATCTTTAGATAATTATTATATTAACGTGAAAATAAACTTATCGGCAGGAAAATAAAATACAATATTAAGTTAAAGGAAAGGAATAGTATTTTGTTCTTGTCTTTACATGTTAATATCACATTTTTAAAGATATCTTAAGAACATGACAAGTACGTAGTATAGATAGATATTTGAAAATCAATATTATTAGTTATAGAAACACTTCTTTTGGTTACTTAAAGTAAATGTAATGTTAATGTATCAATAACAATTTTTATAGGTAAACTTCTTTTGGTTATTTAAAGTAATTTAGAATAGAATTTTGGCGTGTCACGACCGATGATTAAAGCCCATCTCTTAGCTTGGCAGATCCCAGCAAAACCAGTTGCCGCCCGCAACAAGAACAACAACAACAACAAGTTGAAGAATGACAGCAGCAACAACAAGAACTTAACCACTTTGTCTTTGCCCGCAGAGTGATTTTTATTTTTTGTAATTTTTTGTGCCACCTCCTGGCGGGGTTTTTGTTTTCTTTCAGCTTTTTTATTTTTGCTCGAACTTTGTTAACATTCGTCGTGTGTTCTATTTGTGTTCTTTTCCATGTCGGCTCCACCCATCGTCAACATCGCCATTGTGATTGTGCCATCTCACCATCATCCCATCAGCGTGCTGTACGGCAATAAAATAAAGGATTTACCCTCGGGCGTGTTCAAAGGACTCGGCTCGCTGCAGCTGCTCCTGCTGAACGCCAACGAGATCTCGTGCATACGCAAGGATGCCTTCCGCGACCTGCACAGTTTGAGCCTGCTCTCCCTGTACGACAACAACATCCAGTCGCTGGCTAATGGCACATTCGACGCCATGAAGAGCATCAAAACGGTGTAAGTACATGGAGTAGTCCCACTCCTCCACGTCCACCTCCATGCCTCCTCGCGAACGCCCACCATCCACTCGAGTGGGGAGAACAGGCCCATGTCGGGATCCCATCTTGAATGGAGCAGGCACTTTGGTGTTAAACCTCTGAAGTGCATTTAGTAGTTGCCTTTGACTGCGCCCCGCCCTCTCATCCTCCTCCTCGTCGTCTTGAGTTCGCGTTGACATTTGTTTAGCAGCAAACAAGAAGCTTCTCCCGCCCCCCGACACAGCTTTCAGTATCCAGTATCCAGTGTTCAGTACATTCAGCATCCATCCCCTTCTCTGTGAACCGTGAAGACTTTCGGCCTTAGCAGCGAACAAAAGACGAAGACGCCGAGAAGAATTCTCCTTTTGGCATCGATAAATGTGCTCGCGGCTGCAAGAAAAAAAACGAAGAAAAGGAAAAACTTGGATGGGCTTTGGACAGGGAGTGCCATAAGTGCGGCAGCCAGAGGGATTTGTATGCTTGAGTGGGTTAAGTATTTGCCAGGGTTGTCAGCTTTCCGGTTAGTTGCTTACGCATATTTCCGCTGAACGTTGAGAGATCTTTATAATATAAGTAGGGGTGATATCATCAGCAGATGATCATTTTAATAAATTGGCATTACGAATTGGGGCATTTAACGGATTTCATCATAAAAAAATTAACAATTTACACAAAAAAAAAAAAAATTAAGAAACAATTTAAGTTGTTAGTTGTTATAACCTGAACTAATCTGAAAAGTACTAAGCTTAAACAAAATTTAAGAAATTACGTTTCAAGCCTTTTAAAACATATGACGGCAGGCCAAGGCTATCCAACTTTTATCGTCCCAGAACGCATAAAAAGCATTTTAAATAGTTGGCAATAAAATCGATTGAGTTGCGTCAAGCTAACAAGCTAAAATATTCCTCGGGGACCTGCCTGCCTCCTTAACTCAATTGAAATACTAAAAACATTTACTATTTGCGCAATCCCCAATCGTTTGGCAACCCTGTCGGGAATCGCTTTTAAATAGTTGCAAAACAACAACGGCGAGCGAGGGAGTGAGGAAGAACAACAACGGAAATGTCGTAGCCACAAGGCTGGTGCACTTTTAAGACGTCTCAAGCCTCCACGGAAGTTCTGGCTTCCCTTTTTCCCTTATCCAGTTGCCCGGGCAACGTCTTCAACCTATTTTGCTGAGAAAGTCCTGCTGCATAACCGTTTCAGCCATTCAGTCGAATGCTCAATGCTACTTTCTTTGCTTACTTTCTTTCCATTTGCGCACGCACACTCGCCCCAAACACAGACATCTGGCCAAGAATCCTTTCATCTGCGACTGCAATCTGCGCTGGCTGGCCGACTATTTGCACAAGAATCCCATAGAGACGAGTGGAGCCCGCTGCGAGTCACCGAAGCGGATGCATCGTCGTCGGATTGAATCGCTGCGCGAGGAGAAATTCAAATGTAAGACTGCGCGCGTCCTTGTACTTAACCAGCCAACTGGAGACCCTCCTCCTCCTCCTCTTCCTTTCAGGCTCCTGGGATGAATTGCGGATGAAGCTGTCCGGCGAGTGCCGCATGGACTCCGACTGTCCGGCGATGTGCCATTGCGAGGGAACCACCGTGGATTGCACTGGGCGGGGACTGAAGGAGATTCCGCGCGACATTCCCCTGCACACAACTGAGCTGTAAGTCCACTTCCGGTTGCCATGTCCCAGCATCCTGCCTGCTGCCTCCCTCATCCCTAACTCAATGCATTATTTCATTTGGCAGTTTGCTCAACGACAACGAACTGGGACGCATCAGCTCCGATGGCCTCTTTGGTCGCCTGCCGCACTTGGTCAAGCTGGAGCTGAAGCGCAACCAGCTGACCGGCATCGAGCCAAATGCCTTCGAGGGAGCCTCCCACATCCAGGAGCTGCAGCTGGGCGAGAACAAGATCAAGGAGATCTCGAACAAGATGTTCCTGGGACTGCACCAACTGAAGACGCTGTGAGTTTTATATAAAGTTCTTAATTAAAGAATTAAATCAACTATTATTACCCCCTTAAAACCTGATTAGCCTTTAATTAGTATAACCACTACCTGTAAACTGACATTACGTAATCTCTCTTTCCGTTGCAGCAATCTGTACGACAATCAAATCTCATGCGTTATGCCCGGTTCCTTTGAGCATCTCAACTCGCTGACGTCGCTGTAAGTAACCAGATTCAGATTCAGGTTCAGATTGCCAGATCTCCAGATTCCTGGGCTTCCGTCTATCACGATGCCTTTGCTGCTGTGCGTAGCAATTAAAACTGTGCCAAGTGCTCGGGATGCACTTCAATAGATAAATGATTTGGCTTGAGTATTAATTGCCAGGCGGGTTTGTGAGGAATGGTGAGGAGGAGCACATCAGCTCTTTGCTCGTAAAATGAGGTTAATGGTTTTGATTGTTCTCCAGTTGAACTCTGCTGATGTGGCTGCTCTGGCTGCTCCGTCTGCTTCGTTTGCTCCCTTCAAATCAGTTTTGCTTCTTCATGCCAGCCACCAAAAGCACAACAAACTATTGTATATAATTCAATTGAACTTCAATTTATAGCATGGCTTGCTCTCCATCGAATATGTGGATGTGCGATACAGATACCACTAGCTCCTCTTTCTTTCCAGCCAGTCTACCCCCGACTTTTGTTGCCTGTAAATCATCCCCCAAGCACACAAAACCCAAAGGGAGCATACACACTGGCATGTGTGTGCGCCTTCGATGATTTAATTAATTAAAATTGAGTTCAATGGAGAGCGCCCAAGCGAGTCAGTCGGCAAGAGCCAGAAGAGGTGCTGTGTGGTGGTCCGTTGGGCTGCTCGCAAATTATTGTAAAATTCATTTAAGTAGCTAATAAATAGCATCAATGAAATTCATTAAGTGCTGTGCACCACATGACACCCACCACCACACGGACCGCCCACCAACCACCGCCCAACGCCCCCCAATTCGCCACCTTCAAAGGTGTTGCGTGAAAGGAGAGTTAAGTGTTAGTTAGCTGCCTGCGGCCTACACACTGCTACACTGACGGAAAATATTATGGTTTTATTAAAAAAGAAAATGGTGTTGTATGAGATAGTATCTCCTTATTAATCATACGATTTTTGAAATATCATAGTCTGATTTGTTACAAAGATTCGTTATCAGATAGATCAGAACAATATTGTAATGGAAGCATTATTTATATCAGCACAATAAAATTATTTATTGTAACAAAAACATAAAAAATTAGGTATATATATTTTTTTTTTAAAGATTTTTAAAAGAGAATAGGACTTATATTCAGAATTCTAGATAAAGCTTATCATTTTTGTTCTAAAACCTTAAAGATCACTGGAACTTATATTTTTATAAAGATTTTCAAACTAAGTATAGCCTCTATATTTTCGAAAATTAAACTAGTTCGTCATCTAATTTGTAGTAAAACCTTTTTTCAAGTGCAAACTTTCTAATATACACACATGTAATAGGGAGCTGGCATAGCTGGTGGCATGACAAAGCAGAATTGCTTATTAAATTAGTCTGGACTCGGCTGCAACTTTGGAATTGCCAATGTAATTTGTGCGCCATTGTTTCACTTGCTCCGCTCCTAGAACCCCTGGTCCGCATAATTAAAGTGCCTGGCATGGATTGGAGGGCAGTTCCAGAGGAGTGAGGGCGGGAGGACCAACATATGCTGACTATGGCACCGAATGAATACGGAATTAATTTATCAAAACCAAACCAAACCAAACGAGCCTGTATGGGAGGGCAAATTGAATTATAAGAACCCTTTATCAATGCCGTTATCGTAATCGTTTTTTGTGGCCCATGCTGTCACAATTTTTTTTCCTCCCTTCAGGAACCTCGCCTCGAATCCATTCAATTGCAATTGTCATTTGGCCTGGTTCGCCGAATGGCTGCGCAAAAAATCGCTGAACGGCGGAGCGGCACGTTGTGGAGCCCCGTCGAAGGTACGTGACGTGCAGATCAAGGACCTGCCCCACTCGGAATTCAAGTGCAGCAGCGAGAACAGCGAGGGCTGCCTGGGCGACGGCTACTGTCCGCCATCCTGCACCTGCACCGGCACCGTGGTCCGCTGTTCGCGCAATCAGCTCAAGGAGATACCGCGCGGCATTCCCGCCGAGACATCGGAGCTCTATCTGGAGTCCAATGAGATTGAGCAGATTCACTACGAACGCATTCGCCACCTGCGCTCCCTCACCAGACTGTAAGTATCTCTTGAAGATCTATTCCCTAAAGGGCAACTAATTCCCTACTCCACATTCCATCCGCAGCGATCTCAGCAACAACCAGATCACCATTCTCTCCAACTTCACCTTCGCCAATCTGACCAAGCTGTCCACGCTGTAAGTGCACCCAGGCCTAATGACTTTTTAATTGCTCCACCGCAGCACGGAAACCACGAAATGGCAGAAAAAAAGCAGCTAAAGCAAAAGCAACGCAAATCGAAGGCTCAAGAGGGCTTGACACAATTCTGTGCCAATTGCATCGTTTGTCGACCTGGCCAGGTCCCATTGGGCTTTGGATTGGGATTGGGGCTTGTCCCCTCCCTCTGTCCAGTGGGCAGGCCCATTGAACCAACAGGGCAATGGCTGTGCAAGCCAAGAAGGCGCAGGCACGAAATTCATTCCGAGACGTAAAGTCGAAATCGTGACTCGTGCTTAAGCATTAGTCGTTGACGCGGACTTCGACGCCAGCAGAAGAACAGTGGGCTAAAAATGCAGTGATTGTGGTTAAAAATAGTATTTTTATAAACTGAAATCAGTAAACCATTATCTCCCCTTAAGTTCTATTTTAATATCTATATCATATCACACTTAAATTTCGAGTAAATTTATATATTTCACTAAAAATTAATAAGTTGTAAATAATATTTATAAAAATTGTCTTTTAAATGTTCATAACTTCAAAATATATACAGTCAGTTAGTCGAATTGTATATCAAAATCTTCCTTATGTAATCATCATCTAGACTGGATTTTCATACTATCCTGTGGTAACTAGCCCACTGTAGCCTTTGCCACTGATGTGCGCTATCCACAATCAAAGCTTAGCCGTTATTTCTGGTGTTTCTCCTCCGTTTGCGAATGGAAAACGTTTTGCAATTACTTTCATTTCTTCATCAATTGCCATGTGTCTGTTGGCCTAATGCAATTTGTAAATGTTTCTCCAATTCTCCGGCCCTTTTTGCAGCATCATCTCGTACAACAAGCTGCAGTGTCTGCAGCGGCATGCGTTGTCTGGCCTGAATAACCTGCGCGTGCTCTCGCTGCACGGGAACCGCATCTCGATGCTGCCGGAGGGCTCCTTCGAGGACCTCAAGTCGTTGACCCACATGTGAGTAGATAGGGACAGTAGGAATCATCAGCTTGAACCTCATCTTCTTTTCAAAAACAGAGCTCTGGGCAGCAATCCCTTGTACTGTGACTGCGGACTGAAATGGTTCTCCGACTGGATCAAGCTGGACTACGTGGAGCCGGGAATCGCTCGCTGCGCCGAGCCAGAACAGATGAAGGACAAGCTGATCCTGTCGACGCCCTCGTCGAGCTTCGTCTGCCGCGGCCGCGTGCGCAACGACATCCTGGCCAAGTGCAATGCCTGCTTCGAGCAGCCTTGCCAGAATCAGGCGCAGTGCGTCGCCCTTCCCCAGCGGGAGTACCAGTGCCTCTGCCAGCCGGGCTACCATGGCAAGCACTGCGAGTTCATGATCGACGCCTGCTACGGGAATCCGTGCCGCAACAATGCCACCTGCACGGTGCTGGAGGAGGGCAGGTTTAGCTGCCAGTGTGCCCCGGGCTACACGGGTGCCCGCTGTGAGACGAACATCGACGATTGTCTGGGCGAGATCAAGTGCCAGAACAATGCCACCTGCATCGATGGAGTGGAGTCGTACAAGTGCGAATGCCAGCCAGGATTCAGTGGCGAGTTCTGCGACACCAAGATCCAGTTCTGCAGTCCCGAGTTCAACCCGTGTGCGAATGGAGCCAAGTGCATGGACCACTTCACCCACTACAGCTGCGACTGCCAGGCGGGATTCCATGGGACCAATTGCACGGACAACATTGACGATTGCCAGAATCATATGTGCCAGAATGGAGGAACCTGTGTGGATGGGATCAACGACTACCAATGTCGCTGCGCGGATGACTACACGGGCAAGTACTGCGAGGGCCACAACATGATCTCGATGATGTACCCGCAGACGTCGCCCTGCCAGAACCACGAGTGCAAGCACGGCGTCTGCTTTCAGCCGAATGCCCAGGGCAGCGACTACCTGTGCCGCTGTCATCCGGGATACACTGGCAAGTGGTGCGAGTACCTCACCAGCATCAGCTTCGTGCACAATAACTCTTTCGTGGAACTGGAACCGCTACGTACTCGTCCGGAGGCGAACGTAACGATTGTATTTAGCAGCGCGGAGCAGAACGGAATACTCATGTACGACGGACAGGATGCTCATCTCGCCGTGGAGCTGTTTAATGGACGTATACGCGTCAGCTACGATGTGGGTAATCACCCTGTGTCCACGATGTACAGCTTCGAGATGGTTGCGGATGGAAAGTACCACGCCGTGGAGCTTTTAGCCATCAAGAAGAACTTTACGCTGCGCGTGGATCGCGGATTGGCGCGGTCCATCATCAACGAGGGCTCCAATGACTATCTGAAGTTGACAACACCCATGTTCCTGGGCGGCCTGCCCATGGATCCCGCCCAGCAGGCCTACAAGAACTGGCAGATCCGCAATTTGACCAGTTTCAAGGGCTGCATGAAGGAGGTGTGGATCAACCACAAGCTGGTGGACTTTGGCAATGCCCAGCGTCAGCAGAAGATTACCCCGGGATGTGCGCTGCTCGAGGGAGAGCAGCAGGAGGAGGAGGACGACGAGCAGGACTTTATGGACGAAACGCCGCACATCAAAGAGGTGGGTTACCTATTGATTACGCTTGCCTTCCGATTGACTAATTATTTATTTTGCCTTTCCCAGGAGCCAGTTGATCCCTGCTTAGAAAACAAGTGCCGTCGGGGCAGCCGCTGTGTGCCGAACTCGAACTCCAGGGACGGTTACCAGTGCAAGTGCAAGCACGGCCAGCGCGGCCGCTACTGCGATCAAGGTGAGGGCAGCACAGAGCCCCCAACAGTCACCGGTACATACATCTATCATGCTTATGCTACTCACAACTCACCTCTAACTTGCTGATATGTAGGGGGGCGTTTGTCATTTATTACTAACCATAAAGAGTTGTTCCGGAATGGCCACTCATAACTTCCACTGTAGCGTAGAAAAAGTTATGTGGGGCATTTAAAATCTATATTGTTGTTCATAAAACAGGTGTCCGCTTGCCACAAGCAATTTATAGAGTGCAGGTTTTCTTTATGGGTTTTGTTTTTATGATATGCAGTTTAAAGGGGCATTTGAATAATATTTTCAGAAAGTATGGTGTATTTAAAACGCGAAAGTAAGGAAAAATCTAGATTGGGGTTATCTTAAAGAGCAGTTAGTGATTATTTCTTGAAAGTACTTATATTTATACATAGCCTTGTAACCAACTTTTAAACGTAAATGGAATATAGTATGTAGTATTGGAATTTGAATAATATTTTTAAAGCGAAAGTAAGGAAAAAATCTATAACGAGGGTTTCTTTAAGAACAGTTTATGATTATTTCTTGAAAGTACTTATATTTATTCATAGCCTTGTAACCAATAGAACTTAACTCATAAACGTAAATGGAATGTAGTATGTAGCATGGGAATTTGAATAATATTTTTTAAGCGAAAGAAAGGATAAATCTTAAATGGGGTATCTTAGAGAGCATTTTTTGATTATTTCTTGAAAGTACTTATTTTTATAGACAGCCTTGTAACTCTTTAACGTAAATGGAATATAGTACGTAGTTAGATATTGCCACCACCCCCTAGACCTTAATTATTGGCACACATTCGCACACCCACCACACATTCACTCGCTTTTCACGCCACTCACTCATCAAAGGAAAACTTGAAGGGGTTCTTGGGGAGAAGGTGACACTGTGCACTTTGTTAGTTGTAATTATCCAGCCACCCTACCTCAACCCACTGACTAATTGCGTTGACTCTCTATCCTTCCACCCACAGCGGCGTCCACCTGTCGCAAGGAGCAGGTGCGCGAGTACTACACGGAGAACGACTGCCGCTCGAGGCAGCCGTTGAAGTACGCCAAGTGCGTGGGCGGCTGCGGCAATCAGTGCTGCGCGGCCAAGATTGTGAGGAGGCGCAAGGTGAGTGCAAATAGATACATGACTCCTTGAGGCATTAAACTAATATCCCCTTTTTCTTCACAGGTGCGCATGGTGTGCAGCAACAACCGCAAGTACATCAAGAACTTGGACATCGTGCGCAAGTGCGGATGCACCAAGAAATGCTACTGACTGAAAGATGCGACTACCCAATTGCTCGAGCGGAGCAATAGCAGCTTAGATGTTAGTTTAGGAACAGGTTTAAATTTAACTTATAGTAGTAGTAATAGTACCGATAGTCTTAGCCATAGCACTAGGGATAGCACGGAAGTTGGGGGTTTGAAGGATGAAGTGGAGGAGAAAACTGAGGAGGAGGAGGAGGGGCGGAACGACGGGGAGGAGGATTACCCCACGGATGGCATGCAGTCCGATCTCTACGACGACTCCATCGACGAAGATGACGACGATGATGGTCTCGATGATGATTATGCGGATGAGGAGGATGATCCCGATTCCGATTCCCATCCCGAGCAGCTGCCCGATCCCAAGGGTCTCGTAAGCGTGCCGGAGGAGGAGGAGGATATGGGCTACGACGAGGACGACGAGCGGATCGCCATGGAGCGGCCAAGAACGGTGAGGCCGCGGCCCGATGAGGAGCACTTTGTGAACGAAGAGGGCAGCGGCTTCGGCGGCTTCCGGTCGCGATTCCGGCCGAGCAGCAGCTTCCGCGAGAGCCAGCTGGCGGACATCCGGAAGAAGCTGCTCACCGAATCGCAGGCCTCGCCCGAACTCCCAGTTGCGGTGGCCGTGCCGAGCACTGCGATCGATCTGCGCGAGAGCAGCGGCCACTTTGCCAACGATGACGAGGATGGCGAGGACGGCGATGACGGCGTCGATGACGAGTTCGCCGACACGGGCGAGAACCAGGGGCGCGGCTTCTTTGGCTCCCAGCAGCAGCAGCGGAAGAGCGGTCCGTATCATCGCAAGAACGGCAACGATGCCATCAAGATCATCTCCACGCCGCTGGGCAAGGTGAGCATTGTGTACCAGCAGACGGAAAAGGACTCAACAGCCGACCAGGACTCGCAGCAGCAGCAGCAAAAGAAGCCGACGCTCACCGACTTCGATGCCCTGTCGCCGGATCCCGAGAGCAGTCATCGCTTTCCCTCGCCCCACCCCAAGATTACGCCTGTTCTGACGCCCGATGGCAAGGTGGCGCTGCTCTACCGCGGAGACTCGGAGAGCTCCAAGTACGAGCCCATTCGCAACATGACGCACAAGTTTGTTGGTCAGCCGGCAAAGGAGGCAAAAGTCAAAGCGGAAGACTCCTCCTCCGCGGAGGACTCTGTCTACACGGACAGCGAGGATGCGGAGGAGGGCAAAGGAGAGGCGGGAAAGCCCTCTCCGATAGCCAGTACGCCCAAGCCGCTGCAGCCGGAGATTCTGGAGCCCCCAGACAACGTTCAACCGGGCGGATCCTTCATAATCCGACCCACCTCCGACTCCCTGCTGCCCATGATCAACCGGCCGCTGTCCGAGGTGCTGGGCATCAAGAAGAACCAGTTCCAGGAGACGCGGGTGCGCGACCAGCTGCCCACGCAGGAGCCTCCACCGCCGCTGCCCGAGGCTGCCACGTCCCGCAGTCCCGCCTCCGGACATCAGTTTCTCGCCAAGGTCAACCTGGCCGAGTTCCCGACGTCCGGAAGAACGCTGAATACGCCGCTGATCCCGGGCAGCCACGACTTTGACTTCAGCCGTGACAACACGATGCTGGACGAGAGGTCGCGGGTGCGCGAGCTGGAGAAGCAGCGGGAGCGGGACAAGGAGCACAACGAGGCCACCAGCAAGGGAGCCACCGAGGCGCACACCATTGCCAACGAGCAGCTGTTGTCCAAGACGGAGGTCATCAATCTGGCCATTGTGCCGCAGTTCGACGAGGATATGGAGCGACTGCAGCGGCTGCAGGAGACGGGCGGCGGCGGTCGGCGGCACCACAGGGCGCGCCATCGCCACCGCCAGCAGTCCGAGGAGGAGCTGTCGGGCATCCACTGCATCATGCAGGTCATGATGGGCGTGGCCGCCGTCTCGACGGTCTTCGGCATGCTGGGCACCTTCTTCAAGCAGCGCATCCTCGATCAGCTGCGCATGATGCACTGGTAGTACAATACGGGGGATTCGATGTCCCGAATCGAATGCCCCTTCATTTCCCTACCCGATCCTCCTGATCATGATCATCAGAAGCCTCTTCTACTGCTAGCGCTCATATACTCGTATATATACTCGTACATATGCCATATATTAATCGCATAATCTATGTAACACAGCGGCATCGATTTGCTTTCGTCCCCTTCCGCTTTATATATCTTTATATATCTTATCCTTCGGCAATTCCCTTGCTAACACATGTATTCTATATATTCGCATATATCAATTTACTAGTGCAAGCTACCCAGGCGATGTACATAATAACTGAACCATAATACGGAGATCGAACGATCTGGATACGGATATCTATGTATATGCAACTGTAGCCCCTGCCAAGTCCCCAAAGTTCCTTCTTTCGCACCTTCTTGTGCCCTGTAGAACATTCACCAATCATTCGACCCATCAGCGTAAACAAGCTTTAAGCAAGTCATTGCATGTGCCACGCCCCCTCGAAGTTCTGAACGCCCCCTCCCCGCAGAAAATACATTCCCCCAGCCTCCACCTCAACCTCCAACCCCTCCAGCAACCATCATCCGTCGAGGAACTCGGAAATTGGACGTAGAACAGATTCCTTTTGTAGATAGAAAACGAAACAGTTGTTGGGAGATATAACCAGAAGGTCACATGACACGAACGAAATAAATAATGATAAACTAAAGCTAAAGTTATAAACAAAAAAACAGTAAAATCGCACAGAAGCACACGGATTACAAAATACAAACCTGCAAGGGTCGTTTTAAACGCGCCGCTTGTTCAGGGGTCTCAAAGAAACGAGTAAACGATAATAACGTGCATAACGAAAACCTTCTTTAGTCTAAGTTGCTCAAAGGAAAGTATTTTGATAGAACCAGAAAAGGAACGAGAAAAAGATAATGAAACCAACAAACCACAAAGAATCGAATTGAAACAAAGGCCCCCAAAACGTGTAACGAATTTCCTGCAAATTGTTGCAAGTGTTTTTCCTAGAATTAGTCCTAATTAAACTAAATGTGTGCAAATCGAAGCGTAACTAATATTACAATTAACCTAAACTAAACATAAATCGGATAAAAACATCTAAGCTGGGTAGTCGCATGTAAATCTCTAACAATTAACAATTACCGACCTAAGTTAGACCTAAAAATCGAAACAAAATCGAATCGCATTTAAAGAAAACCTACATAATAATAATAATTTATACTAATCTATATATACTTATATGTATGCTGTATGTATGTATGACCCTATATGTATATGTAAAATGTTTTTGACTATTTTTCACTATTTATATCCATATATATTATATATGCATATACGATACATGTGTAATAGCCCCTTTTGGTCTTTTAGTTGTCTTTTATATATATTTAATACGTGTATTATTTTTATTAATTATTCAAGTATAACTATGCGCACCAATTACACGCATACTTTATGTATAACCTATTGACAAATATATATATTATGTGTAATAGCTGTTGCTAAACCAAGTTTAATTATCAGTTTTTTATTTTCCCCTTATCCGGCGAAGCTTTCGACGGTCCGCAGCCGCAAAATTGTGTTCAGCTAATTAATTAGGAAGAGAACGTGTCCCGCAATCGAAGCATTTCGAGTAGCAATGGGGGAAACGAAACAGCAGTTATAGTAATCATTTCTGTGTGTAATATTTATTTCCTAATAAAAATGACAATGAAAAATGTTTCAAATTAAATGGGCTTTTTTTCTATAGTTGGTTTAAATGCGCTTGGAATTAACGTTCTCATTTGTATGATGCACTTGAAGGATGATGAGACGAAGAATTTTTAATAGAAATTATCAGAAGGGGTTCCGATGTGATTCGAAACAAACCTGTACAAATTTTGGATATGTTTTTTCATTTCCGTGTTGTAATACTTTGAGAATTTTTTTGTTTTTAAATCTAGTTTTTCATTTTTACTTTTTACGAAAATTTAAAGTTTTCAGTCGTTATGCCAATTGGCTGGAGATATTATTATGAACTTAACGCGTTATGACATTCTATTTTATAATATTGTGACATTTTTAACCGAAAGTTGAAATGTAGTACTTTGGCAATAACAATATTTTTCATCATAATTTTGTAAAGTGGAATGTCTCTTTGCCAATAACCACCGCTAACGACCCACTTGACTTTCGGGTCTATTTTAAAAAATTGATTTTTTAAACTTTTTTTTTTGTAAAAATAAAAATGTGTAGGTTTGAGTTCAGATCGATTGGGAATTTTATTATAAGCTCAATTTTTTACAATTTGCTGCAATGTTTCGAACACAATACTGATTTCTTTGGGTCGAATATTATGCTGTAGCTCTTATGGTAAAAACATGGTTTAAATACGGGATGTCACGGAAACCGTCGACGGTTTTGTTATTTTGAGGTGTCCCAGAAATGCGGTGTCGCAGAATCTATAGTTTGATATACCTATCTACCACTTTGTTGGTTTAATTCTTCTACTTGATTTTGGAACGGGTTCTATTTCACCAAAATTTGCTTTTGGTAGGAAATTTGGCTTGAAAAGAATTTTGTGTCAGTTATAAAGGATATTTGATTTGAACGATCCCTTATTTCCCGCGCAGCGTGGGTCTGGCAACTCTGAGTTTTGGTATTTTCGGTATTTATCGTGTCTGCCTACCGCGAGCTATCGATAAGGCCTCAAGCTGCTTTTGCCACCACTAGCCCGAGCAGTTCGCGCGCTTTTCACGACCATCTTCTTTAAACTGCGGGAAAAAACCCTTGTGACAGTCGCAGTCGGGAGAAAAGTGAAATAATTAAAAAGCGCATAATCCAAGCATCGCCACGCCATGGACAGTGACTTTGGCGCGGAGGCGGGGCAGGCCTACCGGACGGTGCAGTTGTCCGCGAAAGAAGTAATCGCCGCTGGCCGCCGTCAGCATTATTGCAACGTAAGTAGGGCACCTATAAAGCAGAGAGCCCCAAGGTAACCCCCATTTCCGCATAATTTTTCCCCCCCAGATGATCGACCTGCTGGCCAGCAGCTGCAAGAGTTCCGGCTTGATTTCCACCGCCTTTACAGACGACGAACTGGTGGAGTTCTGGCTGGGCGACATCCTGCCCCTGATGTTCGATGCCGATCGGAAGATCCAGGACTGCGCCGTGGCCGCTCTGGCGGAGGCACTGGTGGCCCTCGACGTCTCCGCGATCCACTCGGCCAGGTGCTGGCCGCAGATCCGCAGCGAGTTCGTCAACAAGTACACCACACTCATTGGCGAAATGCGCGATGCCAAGAACTCGAATTGGCACAAGATCTGGACCTTGCTGGTGCAGATCATGGACGAGGATCTGCTCAGGGGCTGTGTGTACATCAACAAGTTCCTGGCTTTGGTGGAACTGGGCTTCCGGAACCCGGACAATGGCGTGCGATCCGAGGCCTTCCTCTGCTGGCGTGTACTCATCAAGATCTTCGCCGCCTATGATGAACTGGCCTCGGTAAAGAGGCTCCGCCTGCTGCTGATCCCCCTGCGCACCTCCCAGTCGCGATCCTCGCACGTCAGTGGCATCAAGCTGCGCGTTTGGTGGTACCTGCTCACCTGCCTGGACCAGGAGGTCACCAAATCCTTCGACAGCGCCGTGGAGCACTTCCTGGCCTTCATGTTTGGCGGAGGTCCGCGTAATCTGCCCACGGGATTAGCACACAATTATCAAACGGCCCGCGAGTTGGCTCTGCCCTGCCTGGTGTCCCTGTGGGCCGTGGAGCCCAGTGATCCACTGCAGCGTCTGCTGAGGGAACTGCGCCTGGAGACCTTTGGCCAACCGTCGCCGCTTATGAGCGCCGAGGTGCTGCAGCAGCACTGGAAGCCACTGCTGGCCGCCGCCGTGGCGGGAATGAAGCTGCTCACCGAGAACGACGCTAGCGAGGCGGAACAGCTCTTGCTGCAGCTGCTCGTAAGGAATCTCTGCCTGGCCATGTTTCGCCTGGCAGTGGCTCCCTTTAATGTCGCCTGCTGCGGTGAGATTGAGAAGATCCTGCAGAGCTCCGGTGGTCGCGTAGTTCGAGCTCTCTTCAATACGATAGCTGGTGAGAATATGATGATGGAGCGCGTGGCTGGAAGCGATCAACTGGATGTGCTGGAGGCCTACCTAAAGCTGATCTTAAAGTCCAGAACAGAAGTCCCGGCTGCTATACTGCAGCGTAGCATCGCATGCATCTTCAATGCCGACCGTCTTGAGGCGGACAATCAGAATGAATTCCGGATGCTGGGCTCCTTCGCCGAGCTGCTGATGCAGGCCAACGACGAGGAGGACTTTGAGGGATTCGCCGTCAAGCTGCAGGTGTGGCGGCAGGTGTCGCAGGCCCTGTCCAACTATCTGCGCAACAATGCGCTGGAATACCGCGTGGCTCACAATGCCTCGCTTCTGGACACGTGGCTTTTGTGGCCCCTGCAAACGTTAACTGCTTTTGCTGGTCGCCGTGCTAGCAACTCCTTCGACGGATCCTTTTGCGAGCAGTGGCGGCAGTTGCTCAATGCGGGTCAGAATGCCCCGGAAAGGAAGAAGTTCCTGACGGATCTGAAGGCTGCACTGGCGGATCTCTTCAAAAACAAAGAGGAACCCCTTTTCCCAGAGCTCTTTGATGCCTATGTGGCCTCCGTTTTGAAGCTGGGACTCTGCAAGGAGGCGCCCTTGTACAAGGACGTCTTTGGCCTGCTGCAGACCATCTTCGAGCAGCCATCCTCCCAGCAGATGCTCGAGGCCTGCTTGAACACCCTGCGCACCCTGATACTCGAGCTGCGTCAAAACGAACTAATGGTGGTGTTTGATGCCCTGAAACCCACCTTATCCTCCGGCATACAGTGCTGGAGCAAGTTGAAGTGCGAGGGAAGCTTCCTGGAGGAGTGGAAGCGGGCCATTCAAGAGAAGTTCCGCAAGTTGCCCATGAAGAGCATGGCGAATCAGCTGAGGGACCTCTTCAAGGGCGACGACCTCTTCGTGATCATCCCCTCGGTGTGGAGCCTGAACCCCGAGAAGCTGACGGATCGTCAGAAAGAGCGCTTTGCCGAGAAGTCCGATATTCCGGCTCTGTACAATGACATGTCGCAGTCGCAGGACTCCGCTTCCATCAAGCCCTGGACGCCCAAGAAGGTGGTTATTTCAAGGAGCAAACAGGGCGAGCTGGCTTTAACCGGCAAGGATGATAACGAAGAAGTTATTGATATCACTCCAAGCGAGGAGCCGGAGAAGGAACCAGCCGAAGTATCCACTCCAATTCGCAAGGGTCCCGGCCGCAAAACAAAGGCTCAGAAAGAAGAGGAGGCCGCAGCCAAGGTGGCTACTCCAGCGGAGGAACCTCCAAAGCGACAGACGCGAACGCGGGCGGCCCAAAAGGACACGGAACCCGCGCCAACGCCTGAACGCCAGCTCAGATCGCCCAGAAAATTGCCACCGCCTCCCGTTCCCACTCAATCCACAGCAGGTAAGTCTAGCAGGTAACAGGTGGTCTCAGATTGTTAATCTCTTAAACTCTTGAATTTTTGCAGCTGTCGGCAAGCAGACAAAGGTTGCAAAACCCACCCCCGTTGTGGTAATTCAACAGAGCGAGGATCTGTTCCCCGAATCCGCCTCTGAACCTGAGCCTCAACCAGAACCGGTTAAGAAACCCGAAACTCCTACCGAAACACAGCTGACGCCACCAGATGCGTCTGTGGAAGCCGTGCTCTCCACCCAACTGCTTGGGAGCAGCGGAGATATTGCTCCTGCGGCGGCCGCTGTGGCTGCTGCAGAGACTTCGCCCAAGAAGCCGAGCACGCGAATATGCAATTTGGTAAGTAATAAATCGATTTAATAGAATTATATCTCGGAAACTACAAAAGCTAGAAGGTTGAGATTTTCCACACATATTCTTGGGCTTTCTACGCAGCGCAAGTTTATTTCAGCCAAGCGCCACGCCCCCTCTAACGCCCACAATTTTAAAATCTCTTGTTGTTTATATTTATACCTATCGAAATGTAGAAGACATTTTTTAAATCGGACCATTCATTAAAAAGTTATGCGCTATCAAAATTGTATATATCCATCTCCCTCGCACTCCCCTTAGGTGAGTGACGGGTATTAAATAGTCGGGACACAAATAATTAATATTCACTATATTTTATTTAATATTTTTTTTCCCCATCATACCTACAGAACTCCCCACCGGATCGCAAGCAGACCAACAATTCCTCGAGCCCCACCTTGCGGCCCAAACCCACGGGCCATCTAACCGGACGCGGTGCCCAGTTGATCAACATGATTAGAAACAAAAAGCTAGACACCGCAGCCGTTTCGCCATATGCTTCCATGTCCACGTCGCGTCTGGTCCACCAAGTGACCCCAGCCCGTGTCCTCGAACGAGCCGAGCAGGTTTCAACGCCCACCAGCGAGCTGAACGAGTTGACTGGGACAGATCACGCTTCCACGCCGATTCAGGCACCTCCGCCCAAGGATCTGCTGACATTCTCCAAGCGACTGCCCTCGCCATCGGCCAGTCCCTCGGTGAGCATCCTTAAGCGCAAGCTGCGATGCGAGAGCCTCGATGATGTCACCCTGGACTCGCCGGCGCTGAAGCGAAAGCGGGTCAGCTTCCATGACCCACCGGTGTCCGTGACCAAGGAGTACCTGCGCGATTCCGAGGAGACGCGCAGCAGTTTGAAGCCCAAGCGTTGCCTGCTCATGGACAAGGTGGCCCAGACCAGCGAGATGCGACAGGCGCTGAGGAGACGCGGTCGCTTGGACAGCATTATTGAGATCGAACGATTCGCTAGCGAGCAGACGGCCAGAACAGCGACGACGGACAAGACGCTTGACAAGTCCGCGGGAGAAGCTCCCGAGGAGGATGCCTTTACCAGCTTGAAGTGGAACGATACAGGCAATGCCCACAACATTAGCCTCACCGATGAGCCCGTCAAGGTAATGGAGGTGGACCCAGAGCCAGTTGGCCAGGATCTAGCCATCTTGGATCCCGAGGCCGCTCTTGACTTGGTAGTGGAGCAGTTGCCATTGGAGTCGGTCCTTCAGCGTTACTTTGACAAGAGCCAACTGAAGAGCGCCGGCACTTTGGCCAAGTTCCTGTCCACTCAAATGAGTGCCAACGAGAAACTGAAGACAAACGTTCTGGAAACTCTTTCCGAGAATCACTCCAAGGACTTTCTGGACCACGCGGTGCGCGAGAACCTGTCGTCGGTAGTGTGCGACCGCTTGAATCCCAACTCCGTGCTGGAGTACGTCTGTGCCAAGTCGAAGATCAGCAACAGTTGCCGCAGCGGGCTGCTAGCCCAGGTGCCGGAAATCCTCAAGAGCGGCCCGCGTTCCGATGCCGAGCGCCTGGCCTTCGTGCAGCAGCTGCTGCTGCAGTGCAGCCCCGGCGACGGCCAGCTCCTCGATCTCATTGACTTCCTGATGCGCACGCGCAACGAGCGGGACAGCAGCACATCCACACACATCCCCAAAGGCGTTGCCTCCGCCGTTGGAAGCCCTGACAACGTGGCCGAGACCGCGGCGGACTCCTCATCCAATTTGTAAGTTGGATTACGATGGAAATTATTAATGGAATATTGCGAAGTTGGCCATTGCCCTCGAGGATGGGAAATCAATTGTATCTGCTTAGTCTTAGATAGTTATCTTTAATTTGAATTAGCTTTAAGATATACATATTTTTATGCCCGTTGGTGTATTACGTTTTGGCTGCAAAAATTTGCTTCATTTTACAATAAATTCAACTTTTAATTATTAATTTTAAATAGCGTATTTCTTATTTGAAGAGGAAATGGAGGAGTCTCAGTGGTTATATTTCTGATACTTAATTAATAAGTATATTTTGAAATCATAGTTATTAAATATTACTTATTAATAATTAGCTTTCCTTCTAACCACAAGATAAATAGGCGGTTTAAATATAGAAAGAAATTGAGTAGATTTTCTTATGCGTCAGTAATTTTTGATAAGCCTTTAAAGCGACCTATAAACAATGTTTATTTCTGATTTAATTACTTGGAATTGAAATTGGTCTATATAAATTATCATTTAATATCTCTTTATTGGCATTACGTAAGAGTCCAAAGTGCAGACATTAATTTCCTAACATAATCGATTGCCATTAAAACTAAGCTAATCTAATCTATTAAATGATTGTTGGTGTCAATTTGTCATTTCGACTGCGCCAATGGTGACGAGGCAGGTAGGTTTTGGAACAGACAGATAAACAATTAGGATGATTAGTGAGTAATAGCGATTGCTATTCAGCGAGATCTATGAATGAACCAGGCAGTGATAAAATTATCATTAATAATATGATGCTATAAAATCACTTTCTCTCTTTGGGAATTATAATTAGAGAACTATGAATGCACCAGTCAGAGATAAAATTATCATTGATAACATTTTGTTTAGGTAATCACCATGCTATTGAATCTCTTTCTATCTTTGGGAAATTGATTTTGTTTAGTAAGCACGATTTCATATCATTGTATATAGGGCATGATATAGGGCATTTTGAAGTCGATTAGCTCCTCTTGTCTACTGATTATGCTGGATATTTTGGGGGTCAGGCAGTGGCACCTTCAGTGGAGGGCAAACCGGTAGAGGAACCTCCACCGGCGGCAGTCCAACCCTATCTGGTTGATTTGTTGTTCTGGTCGCGGCAAAGTCAAATCACCCCGCCCTCCGTCGCGTCCACTGATAATGTTCACGTGCTAGCAAACATCGCGTAGTCGCCGACATCGGCTGATAGAGATACGACTGGCGACGCCGACGTCTATAGCATATATGCCATATAGCATGGGTATATATTTCCGACGACGTCTTGCTGGCAGTTGTACAAATACCAAGATTCCAGCGTGGGCGGAGCAGAGCGGTCTGCACGAAGTGGGTGCGTGTTAAACGCTCCGCCGGACACTTTGGATACTTTGTATCAGTTACAGGCGGCGTGATAACTGCGCTTTCGGCACAATTAGCCCAGGCGTTTCAGTTTTGGGAATGCCAAGGTCGTTTGTAGGTCTGTACTTGGGTCTGCTGTTCGGTGGATCTAGCGGGTCTGGCCGCATAAAAATAGCCATGGAAAGTTCTTGCTCAATTGCGCAAGTGAAACTGACCTACCTAACCCAAAGCAAAACCATCTCGTGTATAATGACGTAGTTTAAATTCGCGGGTACTTGAGTCTGCTCTCTGTCTGCGTCTGCGGAACTGTCTCGTCGGCCGATCAAGAGCAGGCTAATGGCCCCCCAAGATACCCATCCGTATAGGCGGGTATATATAATCTCATCCATATATCCACATGATTCATTCATAAACTGGTGCCCTCGAAATGCGTAAAGCACTTGTGAAATGGCTCTTATCAGCGGGGCAGCAGAGTGGTTCCAATTCGATTTCGATTGGGTGCCGCGGGTGCCATGCCGTGGAAATTCACGGAAGAGCAGCCTTGTTGGCCAGTGTTGTTGCCCCGATCCCGCGATTCTATCAGCACTCGGCACATAATTGAATAATCTGCTGTGCGAAGAGCGCGAAACAATAAAAATATCAGATACGCTGCCCGTCCGCCGGCAGTTACAGAATAAATTTGCTCGGAACACGACGTGGGCGCATCTCGCAGGTGCCAAAAACGAGGTAGAAACGAGAAAAAAGTGCGAGAGATTTGTACATATAGAGATCTCTATAGATGTGGCTCTACTAAACTCTCTGTGAAATAGTTTGTGATACAACATATATAAAGAACTGGTGTTTCATTGTCGCTTTAAGAATTCAAAGCAATTAAATAATACTATGTAGTGTGATTAAAATATGAATACTTTACTTGGAATGGAAAGTTTTTTGGATGTGGTGGCAAACTTAAAAGCGGAATATTTTGATAAAAAAAAAATAAATTTCCTTCAAAATAAATACATTAATGGTGATTTAGTGATATATAAACCACTTGTTATAGGAGTATGCTTCTGATAAGGACACAAGGATTTTAAAAGGATACAAATTTTAAAAAACAAAAAGACAAAGAAATTTATATATCTAAGAAAACCTCTTATCTTAAAAATTATTTTATAGATATGTTTGAAAGTTTTCAAAAAACTTTTAAAAAAATTGAAAAAATCTAATGTTTAAAAAAAGGATATTGCCGTGACACTCTTTCCCCAATTCGATTGAAATTCCGTTGAAAGAGATTTCGGCGACATCTCTTAAAAAAAACGCGAATCTTTCGTCTTGAGATCTGCCAATTGGCTAATTAGCTAGGCCAAAAGGGGGCGTGGGGAGCGGGGGGCGTGGCTCAACAGCTGATTGCGCCGAGCACGAGCCACGAACTGCACTGAAAGTTTTGTCGAGCGGAAAAAAAGCTGCAGGCAGTGCAGTTTTCGCAGAGCGACGGCGACTGGCGAATCAAACGGACGGAGCAAGCGGAGGAGACTCGCTTCCAGTGCTCAACGCATCAGTTCCAGACCCGGAATCGAAGTGAGTGCCCCCACAGATAGCACCGCATCCAGAAAGGGGTGAGACCGGGTGAGCTCAATAACCCAGTTGCCTTGGCCGAGTGCGGATGCGAGCAGCGGCGGTCGCGGAAAAGTGACTCAAACTCTGATGTAATCATTTTCACATGCCATTACGCCCGCTAAAAACGTTCCGTTCGCATACTCATTCTCGGTCGTCGTGAATCGGAAATCGGGCGATTTCGGGTTTTTGTCTCGCTTTCGGATTCAGTCTGTTGCTGAGGCGCTCGCGGCCTGGAAGCCAAAAGGTAAACATGGTCTCCACTCAACTCGACTCGAATCGGTTTGGATTGGATCGAATCGGATGCGTCCATTCCGGAGCTCTTCGAACTACGTTCTGTTCTAGCCCCCAGTGTTACGGATCCCAAGTTTCGTGACGTATCTGTATCTGTGTATCTTCAACTGGCCATCAGTAGTATTGATTTAACACACATTCGGATTCCGAGGGATGGGAATGGAATGGAACACTCACTTTCCAATGAGTGGAGAGCGAAAAGTTGGCCAAAAGCTTCAAGCAAAAGCTTCGGTCAGCTGTAAATAAGCCCGCCATAGCACAGAGAGCACTGTGGAACTATAGATGATATAGAGAGTGCGAAATTAATTCGGAATTTAATTAGCTCTCTGTAGTTTGGGCGTTCTTTGGGCTCTCGTGCTCTCTGCATTATTTGTTGTTTAATAGCTGATTTTATGGTGTTTGTGATATCATCAAATTGCTATAAAACTGAGAGATATAGATAAAACAAGTTTCAAGTTTAGGATTCTCAGGTGTGTCACGGCAATAACAACAGCGTATTTAGTGTTCAAGTTAGTGTTTTACAAGCACATATTGAAGTGCCTCCAAATGGATTACTTATAAAGAGTGTTTTTGGTATAATGATAACAAATTTAAAAAAAATCGAATTATTATTACCAGTACTTTATAGACTCTTTAAAATATTTTTAAAGATTGTTTGCAAAGTTTTAAAGAAGTACTTTCCAACTACATTTTGCATTAATTAATTTTTTTACGCCTTTATAAACTTAAGGAATTATTTCTGTGAATACCATTATTATTAAAAACATCTAAGAAAATTAGGAAATTAAAAATTTGCAACTATGGACCTCATCCGTGACCTTTTTAATTGCATACTTATGAGCTGAGGCGTACTAAAAATAAGTAAAATTAATTGCTCTTTGTTTCTTTGCCCTTTCAGCACAATAAAGTACTCGAGATCGTTGCAATAGTTTCGTGAGAGATCCCCGAGATGACCTCGCGAATGTTCAAGTTCGGCGTAACAGCTGCCAGTGCCTGCGTGGGTTCTGTGCTGGCCTCGTACACCCTGGACCGCTGGAACACTCCTCATGTGGTGAGTAGTCTTTATGGCCTATACTATATTACATACTTTATACTATTACCCATTTTTTTAGGTCAACAATGCCACTACTCCGCCGAAGAGGAAGCGCACGCTGCCTCCGCGAGCGGATCAGATCAAATCCCTGATGAGCGGCGAGGAGTTCGACGTGCTGATCATCGGCGGAGGAGCCACTGGAGCTGGATGTGCCCTCGACTCGGTCACAAGAGGTGGGTTTTAAATGATCTTAAATAAGTATAAGAACCACTTCTTAAGAATCTCTTCTCCTAACAGGTCTTAAGACCGCTTTGGTTGAGCTGGATGACTTTGCCAGCGGCACCTCTTCGCGCTCCACCAAGCTCATCCACGGCGGAGTGCGATACCTGCAGAAGGCCATCCTGGGCGTAAGTTATTAGATAGATGTTTCCCCATTGTAGCCCGCTAATTGCCATCTGCCATCTCAGCTAGACCTTGAGCAGTACCGCATGGTGAAGGAGGCGCTGCAGGAGCGTGCCACCATGCTCGAATCGGCTCCCCACTTGACCCACCCTCTGCCCATCATGCTGCCAGTCTACACGTAAATTGAAAAGACATCTTTTAGAGGTTTCACAGTCACTATCATTTTGCAAAAATCATTCTTTGCTAAATTAAACTGCTTTTAATTAGGATTCCTTAAATATTTTAGAATCTCTCATCTATTATTTTAAATATATTAAGGACCCAGAAAAATAGTAATATATATTTTGTAAATACGGTAGTCGATTTCAAAAATTAGTTAGAAATGTAACTTATAAAAACCTTTAATTAAACCTCATTAAATAATTATTATTATAGGTTTTTGCTCAATTAGTTAAATTCCACAAATTCTGTGAAACCTCTCTTATCATAATTTTTGTGCTCAACCTACTAAATATCCATGATTCCCCAGGTGGTGGCAGGTTCCCTACTACTGGGTGGGCATCAAGGCCTACGATCTGGTGGCCGGCGACCGGAATGTGAAGAGCTCGTACTATCTCTCCAAGAAGGACGCCCTCGAGCTGTTCCCCATGCTGAAGAAGGACAAGCTGTGCGGCGCCATCGTGTACTACGATGGCCAGCAGGACGATGCCAGGATGTGTCTGGCGGTGGCCCTGACTGCCGCCCGCCACGGAGCCACCGTGTGCAACCACGTGGAAGTGAAGGAGCTGCTCAAGAAGGACGACGGCACCGGCAAGCAGGTGCTGTGCGGAGCCAAGGTCAAGGACCACATGTCCGGCAAGGAGTTCACCGTGAAGGCCAAGTGCGTGGTCAATGCCGCCGGACCCTTCACGGACTCCATCCGCAAGATGGACAACCCGACGGTGAAGAGCATCTGCTGCCCCAGCTCCGGCGTCCACATCGTACTGCCCGGCTACTACAGCCCCGACCAGATGGGTCTGCTGGATCCCTCGACCTCCGACGGACGCGTCATCTTCTTCCTGCCCTGGCAGAGGCAGACCATCGCCGGCACCACCGACCTGCCCTGCGATATTACCCACAACCCCACGCCCACCGAGGACGAGATCCAGTTCATCCTCAACGAGATCAAGAACTATCTGAACGCCGACGTGGAGGTGCGTCGCGGCGACGTCCTCTCCGCCTGGAGCGGCATCCGCCCGCTGGTCTCCGATCCCAACAAGGACGACACCCAGTCGCTGGCCCGCAACCACATCGTCCACGTCAGCCCCTCCAATCTCATCACCATCGCCGGCGGCAAGTGGACCACCTACAGGGCCATGGCCGAGCACACCATCGATGCGGCAATCAAGGGTGAGTCCTTGGGGTCTTAACTATCATAAAACAAGAGAGAACACTATAGTCGGGTGTACCGTTATTCAGCTCAAGGGAGTGCCAGGGAGATGGAGATATAAAACTTTGATCGTGCATAACTTTTTAACGTATGGTCCCATTTGAAAAATTTCTTCTACACTTCGATAGGTATTGATACACACAATAAAACTTTTTACTTTTCCGAAATCCTTAAAGGTGTGGGCGCCAGACACATTTTAAAATCGTTTAAGGCGAAGAATATGTGTGGGTAATCCCAACTTTCTAACTTTTGTTGACCCAGATCCAGAATATATATACTTTATAGAGTCGGAAATGCTTCTTTCTAGCTGTTACATACTTTTACTCGTAGAGTAAAGGGATATGAATATTCTGAACATTATCAAATACTCTTAGGATGCAATTTACAATGTCTACCTTATCCATAGTTGACCGTTTCCTTATGATATTGATAAAAATAAGAACCCAGACACTGAGATAAGATAACATGACCAATAACACAGGTACACAGCCAAAAATTTCCACGAACCATTTCAAGTTTTCCATGATATTTGGGTGCTCCTTAGTAAAAGTCCCATACAAAATTATTTTCCATCACCTACAGGTTCCGCGGTATAGCTAAGAATGCAAAAAACCGATGTTTGCCGACATTTTGAATTACGTGGCCTATATAACCTTTATTATTTTCGGTAGGACCTACTCTCAATACATCAAGGCATTCCTAAAAAATAGTCCCCATTGTGAACCATTGCTCATGTCTTTGGAATTCGACGCCAAAGTTGAAAATCCCTAAATTGTAGAGATTTTTCTGATGGAAAAACAATTCTGAGGATTAAATCTTGAATGGAAGTAATTTTAACTATTCATTGTATCTATTGTTCATTGTATGCTTTAATTTCGATTTAAAGCGTTTTCATGAGAACATTTTATTGGATTTCTTATACTAATTAAACCGATTTTTTTATTTCATTATCTACTCCTAAATGTTGTCAAATTTTGAATAAGTCATGGCAACCTCTAGAACTAAGAAACTAAAATACGTTCACTGAACATACACAGAGAAATGTAAATGTTTACTCCCATTCTGTAGGATGCCTTGACTTTTTTAAAATTTGACAACATTTAGGAGTAGATAATGAAATAAAAAAAACGGTTTTATTAGTATAATAAATCCAATAAAAAATATTCTCATGAAAACGCTTTAAAGCGAAATTAAAGCATACAATGAACAATAGATACAATGAATAGTTAAAATTACTTCCATTCAAGATTTAATCCTCAGAATTGTTTTTCCATCAGAAAAATCCCTACAATTTTGGGATTTTCAACTTTGGCGTCGAATTCCAAAGACATGGGCAATGGTTCACAATGGGGAGTATTTTTTAGGAATGCCTTGATGTATTGAGAGTAGGTCCTACCGAAAATAATAAAGGTTGGTCCAATTATAAAGGCCACGTAATTCAAAATGTCGGCAAACATCGGTTTTTCGTATTCTTAGCTATACCGCGGAACCTGTAGGTGATGGAAAATAATTTTGTATGGGACTTTTACTCAGGAGCACCCAAATATCATGGAAAACTTGAAATGGTTCGTGGAAATTTCACAAAGTTTAATTTTGTGTTCCTGTGTAATTCTTGATAATCCTATTAGTCAGTAATGTTTTTTAAATATTTACAAATAGGAATATCCCATTCTTATCGAAACTATAATGATCTTAATGATTTTTAATAGCCTGCAACTTAAAGCCTGAGCGCGCCGAGGCCGTAACCTCTTACCTGAAGATCGAGGGCGGACAGGGCTGGACCCCGACCATGTACATCCGCCTGGTGCAGGACTTTGGACTCGAGTGCGAGGTGGCCCAGCACCTGGCCAAGTCGTACGGAGACCGCGCCTTCGCCGTCTCCAAGATGGCCTCGCTGACCGGCAAGCGTTGGCCCATCATCGGCAACCGCATCCACCCCGAGTTCCCCTACATCGATGCCGAGATCCGGTACGGAGTGCGCGAGTATGCCTGCACCGCCGTCGACATGATCGCCCGTCGCCTGCGACTGGCCTTCCTCAATGTCCAGGCCGCGCAGGAGGCACTGCCCGTGATCGTGGACATCATGGGCGAGGAGCTGGGCTGGTCCAAGGACGAGAAGGAGCGCCAGATCAAGACAGCCACCGAATTCCTGGCCAACGAGATGGGTAACACGGTCAATCGCACCTCCAAGGAGCGCATCCCCATCAAGCTGTCCAAGGAGGAGATCCAGACGTACATCAAGCGCTTCCAGCTGATCGACAAGGACAAGAAGGGCTACGTCTCCATCAACGACATCCGCCGGGCCATGAAGACCTTCGGAGAGGCCGACGTTTCCGGCGAGCAGCTGCACGAAATCCTGCGCGAGATCGATACCAACATGAACGGCCAGGTGGAGCTGGACGAGTACCTTCAGGTGAGAAGCTATTACCCTTCATCACCATTCCCATTACAATCTTTATAAGTCTGAAAGACAGTACAATAAGTGGGTAACCTCTTGAAGACGCATAACATTACTTTAGTTCAAGTCATGACTCTACCCCTACACTTTTTATGTCTCACAGATTGTAGAAACAAAGGTTCAACCTCTCAAAAAGACATAAATGGACTTAAGTTCAAGCCATGACTCTACCCATAGTCTTTATATGTCTGAAAGACTGTAGAAACAAGGCTTCAACCTCTCGAAGACACATTACTTGACTTGAGTTGAAGTTATGACTCTACCCCAACACTTTATATATCTGAAAGACTGTAGAAACAAGGGTTTAACCTCCCAAAAAGCCATAAATTGACTTTAGTTCAAGTTAAGACTCCTACCCCTCAGTAAGTAAGCTTAGCTTACTATAAAATAATGGCATATTTAATGGCAGAAATCAAGGGTCACACAAGCTGTTACAAGTTATAAAAATGTTAGACAAATTCCAAGCATAAAACTAATATCTATTAAAAATTGCAGATGATGTCAGCCATCAAGACGGGCGACGTGGCCTACTCCCGATTTGCGCGCATGGCGGAGCTGGAGGAGGCGAAGCACGAGGCGGCCGCCCTGAAGACGAAGATCAGCGTGGACCGATCCGGCGGCGGCCTGTAAGAGCACAAGCGACTTAACAACGACGACCACATCACCCGGCCATCGGAGGCAAGGACTAGGCTTAAGATCGAACGGTTAAGATCAAACTTATTTTCATTTTGCTGTTAATAAAAAGAAACTCTTTCAACTCACAGATGACCATGCGCCCGGCTTAGTTGGCTAACTTGATTAGCTCAATCTGCAATTTGATTCATCTTTCTTCTCACTTGGAGGTGGTTGTGGATTGGAGCCACCATTTCCGTTTTTCCCATTTATATTTGGATTTGGCTTGGCCTGGTTAGGTTGAACGGGTGGAGTTACCACTTTCGGTTTTGGATTTGGTTTGACAGGAGTCGCTTCCACCTTTGTTTTCGGCTTGGCTCCGTTCTGTTGCCCATTCCCATTTGGATTGGAATTTTTAGCACCATTCCCATTTGGATTTGGATTTGGATTTGGCTTGGCCTGGTTTGGTTGAACGGGAGGAGTTACTGCCTTTGCCTTTGGCTTGGTTCCGGTCTGCGCCTCCACAGACTTTTTTCCCAGGTCATTAGTTTTTGGATTTGCCTTGATAGGCTCCACAGTTTTCTTAGGTTCATTCGGTTTGGTTGGAGTGGGCTCCTTTACCTTGGGTTTGCTGTTCACTTGGCTATCTGTGCTGGTCCTTCTGCTCTGTCCATTCGCAGGCTTATTTTCCGACCCTTTGTTACCTTTAGAAAAAAAGTATTGCATTTATATTACAGTTTTGATTTGGGATTATATTTAGTTTTCGTACTAAAAGCCAAGAACACGCTATTCAGGATGTCTTCGGTGAGATTGCCATCGCCGCGTTCAAAGGTGTATTTGGTCTTCATCACGCAGTTGAACATATCCGACCGTTGGGCGTCGGTCAGATCGGCGATCATGTCCAGTTTGGGGTCCCAGAAGAAGAGCAGCTTACCCTTTTTCGTGGTCAATGCTAGGGTTTCGCCCAACTTGCCTTGCATCTGGAAGGAAGTTAGTAGTTCAGATTACTCTTACTAAAAGCCTTCCCAATCTGCTACTCACCTCTATTAGTATCTCTTTCAAGGGCTTTTGCCAGTAACTGGCATCCCGACGGGCAGCCTCCCACAGAAAGAGCGTCTTGATGTAGTAGCTCTTCAGGTTGGCCTTGTTCTTGATGTTGCGGTGCTGCTTCATCAGACGAATGGCATTCTTCAGGTTGTTCTTGCCGTGGAGCAACCGGCGTTCTGCGTCGTAAAAGGAGGCCCTGAAGGATGGGTTCTCGTTTTGGGCTGGCTTCATGGGCTTCGGGATGGCATCCCAGTGAGGTGTTCCCGCAAAGTATTTCCTCTGCTCCGGCGCCAAAACGACCTGGGCAGCCGAAAGCTTAATGGCCGGCACAAAGTCCACGGAGTACTCGTAGGGACCCTTGACAAAAATCGTGTGGGCGGGCCCGCACTTCTTGTAAATTAGTTGTGAGACAACCCCTCCCACTTCGATCTGCTTGCCCATCTTGTTGAGCGCCTGGGTCATTATGCTCTGCAACCAACTCTGCAGCTTGTCCTCCAGCAACTGCTTCTTGCCGTTCACGATCTTTTGGAGGAGCTCGAAGACTGGCTTGTTGTGCTCCTGATTCCCGATGATCTCCATTACCTTGGTCATGTCCAGAAAGACGTTGCCTGTCCAAAGCGTCGTCGTTATCACCCAAATCCAGTTGCATTATAACAGTATTCTCACCTGGCTTGCGGGGATCGGCCTTAACAATGATCTTGTCGTTCTCGGGAAACGTTAGGTGAATCACCAAGTCAAACTCATCTGGTTTCGATACCTTTAGGTTATCGCCATAGCCACCTAGACAGGATGAAGACAAGGTTTATAGCCAATCAAAGAATATATTGATAAGATATCTTACAGTTGCACTAAATGGATTTTATCATGTATTCCAGGAAACTTGTAACGGAAGTTTTATAAGGCCCTTCAGTCCTAAGTCAATAACTTAGTTTAACAATTTAATTTTATTTTTCCAAAATTATTTCTTATATTTTTTTGAATATTTTCTGTTAAAATCAATTCAAACTCGCTTCTAATTGGCTGACTGAACATAATGCGATTTTGGTAAGAATCTTGTGAGGAAAGGAATTTTCTAGAAGGTAGAATTTCTCTACTCTATATGTGCTCATGCACATTTAAATGTATGCTTGTAACAGGAAGCTGAGAGGCACGTTTTGTTCATGTTGGTCCTCATCTCGAGAAATGTTGAAGGTCAGTAAGTTCAAATTGAAATATTTTAGGTCTCAGATACATTATAAAAGAGGCACTCGGACGCAGCATTCTATCCTAACAAGTAGACTTAAGAAATATTTATATTTTGTCTTTACAAATTTATTTTGAATAAAAACCGATTAAAAAGCCAGAAGGGGTTAAAGATATCACTGCTCTAAAAAGGGGATTTTTTGCTATCAGTAAGGGTATAAAACTTTCGACACTCGCGAATCTTACTTTCCGGTTTCGGTTCTTATCGCAGCCAAATAGTGACGTCGCCAACATTGCAATTCACAGGCGTTTTGCCGGATCTGTATTGACTATAGCAACTTTGTTGCACTTCCAGTCTCACTTTCTCGTTTTCAGACACGCACTCGCGAATACACATTGCAAAGAAGGAAAAAAGGGGGCGTGGAGAATAGAGAACCTACCGCCCAGTGTGTTTCCCTTGACCAGCTTGCCCAGAACTGGAGATCCCTTCCACTCGCTGTACAGCTTGTCCCGCAGGGCGTTGTAGTGGGTGGTGTATGGTGCTCGGTCCTCGTCGAAGTTCACGTACTCCCCATTTGCCTGGTTGAGGCTATTCTCCAGATTTCTTGCCATTTCGCTGCTGCTACCGAATTGCTTCCGTCGTCGAACGCCGCCGTTTGCTATCTGAACGATCAATTGAAGCGGCCGGCGAGAGGAAACCTACTGGGTTGTTTGCTCTCTGTATGGGCGGCTCTCTGGATTCCCCAGCTGTTCCGAGTTCGAATTTCGAATTCCGAAGAGAGAAGTATCTTTAAGGCTGTAGGCCTTCAGCCAGCAGAAAGCTAAAGACTCCAGAAAATGTTTACTTCTTCTGGGAATCACCGACTCAGCATAAGCTGTGGAAAATTATTTCTGGGACTTCCCCAATTTTGGCTTTAAGAATTCCTCAATTTTCATAGGACTTGGAGTTTCTGAAAGAAATAATAAACATCTAAAAAAAACATATTTGTTTAAAATGCAATTTCAAGAATATTTTATTGATCGGTATTTTTAATTTAAGTGGTATTCATATTGATTTTCCATTAGCACGTCACATTTGCAGAATTGAGAGAACAATCATAATTCATTGATCCATAAATTGAATGTTATTTTGCTTGACTTGTTTATTTGTTTTTCGCTTCTTTGCTTTTATGTATGCACGTATAAATACTAGGGAGTTGCAAAAATATTTTACAATAACAATCAAAAGTACGATCGATAGTTGGTACGTTGGATAATTGATAGATAAATAGATTAACAAAGGCGCAGGCCAATAAAGCGTGGATTCTGTCGTAAATCTTAGTTCTCAACTAATGTGTGGGGGAGGGATTTTGGAGGATTCTTAAGGGACGACCCATGGAATTGAAACCACTTGCAGCTAGCGGGGTTGAAAGCGGATTCCGAAGGGTAAAGGAGGAGGTTAGCCTATCCTGATCTGAATGGTTCTTGTCTTCTATCGGAGGATATCTTTCCTTTGCTACAGATACACAAGTCTGAGTAAAGGTAAGCTGCGGGCTGCTATTGTTTGCGTTTCTGCTCAGTTGCGATTCTTTTCAGTTAAATGTATATACTTATATAAAAAAGAGTAAAAAGACGCACAGTTCTCGCGCTGGCGCCAAAACTTAATGATTAGCTTACAGCTAGATATATATATATATATATTTCTGCCCGATAAATATCTATGCCCAATATTGTAATATGCCATGTTATCGGGTGGTAGTAGAAAATTGGAAGAGAAAAAGAGTGGCGCATATGCTAAGTTACACGATAAGTATGCTCTATCTATGTGAGTGTCTATTTATAATTGATTTTTACACACGTAATTGCAATCGCCTGTCTGGTGTTCGATTCAGCGATAAACAATTGGCGATCGACGATAGTAGCCATCGATAAACACAACTCAAAGGTAAATGTATAAATATATGTATAGGTATCTATCTAACTGTAGATACTTTGAGAACATTGAGAAACTTTTCGTGTTTTTGGTTGTTTGCTAGAGTTGTATAATTAAGAGTTTAGGTTTAACTTTGAGACTTTTGCACAGCATTTATTTTTATACATTCTCGTTTATGTTCTATATATTCATATGTCTATATGGTACTTCCCCGTACAAGTACAAATCGAGTAAAAACCTCTCTATACAAATCCAAAATCAATGTAAACCAGTGAATCAAAAATAAATGCGAGTTTCGTTAACTAATTCGAGTGTAAAGGTTGGAAGCCGTACTTCAAATAATCGAAATAAGTCTAGAAGGACACTCTAGGGATAGGATAGAATAGAAGGGGGATTTGGGGGCTGCAGCTACCGTAGAGCGTATAATGAATCAGTCTTTGCGCGTCACAAGTCATCAATCGAACGGGGAAACGATACGATAAATATATCGAAATCAACGCTAAGCGGGGATCGGATTTGGAATTTCGGATCGGGAGTGGGGCTACTAATGCGGATTCGGCTGAGGATCCTCGGGCATACAAACCGTACAAAAACTAGCTAGATACAAACATACAATACACATTATCAGTATTATCATCGATTCGATTCGATTAGCTTTAGCTTCGATTTGGTTTCCGTTGTATACAAAGTAGATAATGTTCGAATTACAATTATAATTGCGGTACGAGTACGTAATAAGTGTAAATACGGTAAAACAAGTTAACAAGCTTTAATGCAATTATTCCGTCTCGAATCGGAATTCGAGTTCGCTTAGAGTCGAGGTTAACGTTAACGTTAGTTTAGAGTAGAGTGTAAGTTAGAGTTAGGTGTGGGTTAGCTTTGAGCCTAGCCAAAAATTGAATTACAGAATCGAGAGCGTAGCGTAGTATGCAAAGTGGTAGTTAGATCCATATCCATATGTCTATCGGCGCGACAGATATCCGCCGGCCGCCTTGTTTACTCGTAAGTAATTGGTGCTTTTCCATTTCGTTTAGGTTAGGTCTAGACTCTAGAGTTACAAAAAGTTCTTGGAGGAGAGTAACGAATAAAAATCTCATCTCTGCCCTCGGCTATCATATATCATATATCATATATGTGTGGTTGCTTTTATCGAATACAATACAATACAATACGTACAATAAAAAAATGTATAATTAGATTTATAATTTCTTTAGAATTTAGAAGTTCAATGCAAATGAACGCTGCATGGCGCCAGCGTTTCTAAACCGCCTTCTGCACTTGATTTCTGTTAACCTGAATACAAAAATACAATATCATAAATATATTTATATGTTCGCGTGTATATGTATGTATGTATATGTATGCAATTGGTAATTAACTGTCTGGTAACGACAACGACAAAACGATTTCGATACGGATTTGTATTTGCATTTGGATGTGGTTGAGTTGCTGGATGCGTTCAGCATCTGTGGGATTTGGGGCTCTAGATCCCCGATCCTGGATCCTCCCTCTACTTGTTGTTCTGCGCCATCACGTGAGGGGACTTGTAGAAGTTCTGCACAAACTCCGAGAGGCTGTAGACCGCTCCAGGACCTTTTCCTGCGCTCATGCAGATGAAGTCCCCCAGACAGTGCATGTTACCTGAATTGGATAGTCGCTATATAAGTAAGAAATCTTTATATTTTCTTGCGAATTACTTACTGTTGGAGAGAATGGGTGGATATGAGGGCGGCGGCTTGATCCAACTGCCATCCGGCCGACGCATGTGACGCCGGTCCGACGAGAACTCAATGAGATATGTGTCTGCGGGTATGACTCTGAAGAATCTATTTGGAATAGAATAGGCTTGTATCTGACTTTCTTCAAGGATTAAACACAAGACTCACCTGTGGTGCTCCGGTCGCAGGGCCAGATCGGAGCGGAACGTCTCCGTCACGTACTTGTGGAAATATGTGGGAAAGGGCAGCGTGGTGTCCAGATCGAATACCAAGCACCGATTCAGCGAGGGATTGTGCATGAAGAAGACGTGGTAATCCTGAAGGGAAAATTAATTAGAGGTATTAAAATGTGTATTTAAAGATGATAGTCAAGTGATATATCAATCAATCTGCTATATTATAAGTATTTTGACAATTGCGATTGAACTCTTGAATTTAAGTTTTTTTAAAAGAACATAAAATTGTAAGACATTTAAAATATAATTTGTAGGTGCCTTTAAGTATTTGTTATTTACTATTCAAGGAAAATTAAGCAAATATCAACTGATCATCGGTGTATAGTAATAATTCAAAAGTAATTGGAGACTATTTAATTTACTAGGTTATAAATCGTATGATATGAATAGTATTAACCATAATTAAACGATGCAGCGGCATTCTAACTACAATTGGAAACTTTAAGCTAAGCTGCTGCACCGTTTAGAGCTTATATATATGTGGCTTACATTTTTTTAATTTAATCAAAAGTTAGAATGCTTTAAAAATGGTTTATACCAATCAATCCAATCAAACGGCTCCACCGTTTATAGTTATTATAGATTTCTTTATAATTTTGGTAATTTCTTTATCAGTTTGATTGCTAACTTTCTGGTGCATCCACTTACCCATATCACAACTTGATCGTCGCCTCGTCCGGCCTTCTGGCGCCAAAGTGGAACGGTGCGACCCTCGTTGGAGACGAAGACGGCGTAGCACTTGGACAGCTCCTCGGGCCTCGTTCGCTTCACCTGCTCGCAGAGCTTCCACACGTTCTCCTCGCTGGTTGGAAAACGGGGGGATTAGCAATCGATAGATGCACTGCTTAAAAGCGAGATTAAGTCCAAGTCAAGTCGCAGTCCGAGGCTAATCCCTGCACGAAATGTCAAGTGGCTCCACTTGGCCCCTTCCAACCTTTGTCAGCAACAGGCCGCATTATAATAATCGATTTTGCTCGGCACGCGGCTCTGACTTTTGGCCCGTGCCTCTTGCCAGTTTAGTGTTTATGGCTCTTTCGAATAAATTCCAATCAATTCTGCTGCCACACATTGTTGCTCGCATGCTGGCGAAGCGGAGTGGGCAGTGGTCTCAGGTGCATGTGAGTGGGGCATTAAACTAGGTGGCACAACAAAGGCGGCCATATCAACAGTAACAGGTATAACAAGGACTCGAGGGGCTGGTGGATGGGGTGGCAGGTGGGAGGAGGAACGAAGAAGGAGGTGGGAGCAGGTGGCACAGCCCACTCAAGTGGCGCGGTCAAAAGTCGCGACTGAAAGTGGCTCGCGGCGATATCGTGAGCTGGCGTTATTAATGCCGCCAGGCAGAGATTGCTTCAAGGAGGCGGAAAGGCAGGGTTTTATTCACCGGATGGGGGTGGTTCGACCCAAGACCCCATTTGAGAGGCTTCCACCGAAATCACACAGAAAGAAATGATAGAGTATACTTTTATAACTCGTTTTCAATTGATTTTAAAATTGAAATTTTTTAAGGTGATAAAATTTAAAAAAGAATTCATTCAGCAGGGGAATTTTAAGATGGTTTTTATTACTCAAAAAAAGTAAGAAGTAAATGTTTTACTGTGACAGTGAAGGTGAATATATTTTGCTGATTAAGAAGACGACGAATTTAAACCATTCTATTTGCAGAATAATATTTTACTTTGAAAGGATAAATATAAGCTCAAAATATATAAGGAATTTTTAAGTTTCAAAGTTTTAACTAGCTTTAAGAGCCAAAAAAAGGGTATTTTATAGAATTTTAAAGGCATTTTGAGACAAAATAAGTTAAATAAATATTATATTTATTTTTAGATAATATAAAATACTCCTATCTCTTCAAGTTAATTTTTGCCCGAGTGCAGTGGTTAAAATGCCAGAAGGCAGTGTCTAAAACCTGCGAGCCGCTGCCACACGCGACCCACAGATGGCGCTGCTGTGGTGTGTATGCCGAGGAAAACGAGGCAAGCGAGAGCGGAGGGTTTTCCAGAGTTTTCCTGGAAGGAGAGATGAATCTGAGTGCAAATGTGAGTGCGCGAGCAGTTGCGAATTAATCAATGAACATGTCCTGCGGGAGAAAGGGGGCGGGGTGGTGGGTTGGGGGCTTTTTTCTGGGTGGTATGAGGTCAGAGAACGCGACGACATTTTATCTGGCCATGTAAATGGGTGTGCGTGTGTAAAAACTTTTTTATGTTCTGCGCCTTTTACTTTATATTTTTTTGCCGCTTTTTTCCACACTTTCGTGTGTGTGGGTGGGTGGCGGGCAGAACATAAAACTCATATCAAGCGGCAGGATAAACAAGTTGCCGCCGCCAATTCATCGGGGGACCGCCTGCCAAGCTGCCATTACTTAGTCCTCGTCGCCGCCATTTTTGCAATTAGCATTTTAAATATTGCACCAACACACACAGGGACATACCATATATAGTACTTATATAGTATAGTGTAGTATGTGCTTTTTTTGTTTAATTTTTGCTTTGCTTTTCGAATGTTTTTGTTGTTCGGTCGGTCGTTTGTTTTATAGTCGAAACGCGCCTCTCGCATGTGGCCATAAAAACGAACCCCCATCCTTCAGCTTTCAGCTCGTCCTACCCCACACTCACACGGATAGGGCACACAGACACAGGCACACTCACACTGCTGCACAGACACACCAACACAGCGGCACGCTTTTCTTGTTGGCAGACATGACCGTTTGACCTAATTTCTGGAGCTGCGCAGCGCCAAACGGCGCCGCATCAGGATTCTCAGAAGCAGGATTCAAATTCGGAAGAAGGGAGAAAAGGATGCGGAGACGCACAGGACTCGCAAGACTCGCAGGAATGAGTGAATAATGAGCGAATTTGAATGCAAAGCGGGCAGGCGAGAGGCGACACAATAATGGAAATTATCCGAAAAGCAGGCGGCACGGGACGAAGGACATGGCTCCGCTGAGTGGCGAATGTTGTTGCCAAAAGAGATAACGCACAAAAATAAAATATACATAATTAAAAGAAGAAACGCTCGGCAGTGGCAGTTGGCAGTTGGGACTGGCCAAGCATGAGATAATCATTCACACAAGTGTGAAAGGCAGCGGGAATCATGTGCATCAGGGGTTTTGGCTGCCTAATCCCCAAAACAGTGGTCGCTCGCTAATATAAACTGGGAATTATTACAGATATAGTTATATAAACTCAAAGAATTTAGCTAGGAATATTACGAATATTTATAAAGTGACCTAATAGGATGTAGGTATAAAAAGGAGATTAAAATACTTTTAATTTTAATAATCTTACTGAACAAATATTATAGGTTTTGTTTTTTTTTTTAACTTTTTAGAAATATTTTCAGCTTTACAATTTATATTTAAGACTATTTTATATTTCCTTTAAAGTTTAACCATAGTAAATATAAAAATCTTTATTTTTGCTAACAAAATCTTTCCCTAAACGTTTAAAGCATTATTTTTTTGGTTTTAAAAGCTAGCTACTGAGGCTAAAAGTTTAGGTAATTTAATCTAATCAATGCAATCAACTGATAACTTATCAGTGATAGCTTATTATGTGTAAGATTCCAAAAATGAAAACTTTTTTCCCAAATGCAAATTGACTCATTGCTAAGAAATATAGTCCGGCATAGCGAGTGACCACTGTGCTTAGTTTATTAGGCTCAGCGTATTCTCCTCGGCTTTCGGCTTCCCCTGGGAGGTATCCTATATATCATTGCCATTAGCTGCGCTGCCACTGTGTTAATATTCAGGTGCTGAAGGTTGGGTGAATGATTTCGACTGTCTAATGAAAAAGTTTTCCATCTCCACAGCGTTCGTCGTTGTTGTTTTTGTTTTCGTTTGTCGTTTGTTAGCTGTTGCTTTTGTTGGTGCCCGAGGGGATATGGTCTATATGGTATATGGCATTATATTTACTCACCAGTAGCAGGAGACATAGGAGCAGTCCGCTATTTTGGGGAACAGAAAGTCCGTGGTCATCTTGATGCGTTTTGGGATGGGATCGGATCTGTGGCTCAGTGGTTATGGTTGGGTTATCCTTGGGACCAGGAGCTAATTGTCACTGGGGGCGGAGACTGGTGACTGGAGACCGGAGATTGGGAGATTGCACGAGACACGAGACGAGCGATATGTAATCACTGCATTATGCGCCGCTGCCTGGACAAAAGCAGGGTGTGTGTATCCGTATCTGCGGTCGGTATCGGTATCCGTATCTTTGTCTATGCGGTGGCATCGGAGGATGCGGGATGCTGGGCTGCTAGTCCTTGGCCTGCTGCTCGATCCTGCTGCTCCTTCCTCAGCGGCATTCCTCTGGACCTCTGTTTTTATATTTTTGTTATTTTTCCCGTCTTTCCTTTTTCCTTTTTCCAGGATGCTCACTCACTTACACATACACATGCACTCAGGCTCTCTCTCGCGAAGGAGCCGATTTCTCGTTTTCGTTTCGTTTCGATTTTTGCGAATTAAATTATGCTAAGGATGCTGGAGCTTTTATCTCCTGTTTCGCTTGTTTTGGGAACGCACACACCTGGCTAAAAACAAAATAGGGGCGCTCATCCCCCGCAGATTCTGCGGATTCTTCCTGCGGGCAGCAGAGGGGCGGCAGGTGGGCGGCTCGCAAGGATGGGGGCGGGCTGACCAGGTGACAGAGCCTGGGGCAACACACTCAGCAAACCATGGAATGGGATTCTTCTCTCGAATAAGTTATTGTTTGATTCAGCAGAAAGTACTACTAAATATATAGTTGTAAGTGCCCTGCAGAATCGCGAAGAATGCGTTTTTGGCGACCCTCTCTATCTCAGCTTTTCCTTCTTCCTTTTCCCACGCTCTGGTGGTGGCTTTTCCGCTTTTTTTCTCGGCACACTCCGCTCCGTGTTGTGTACGCGTTCCCGAATTCACACAGTGTGACCCACGTTGAAGCACCGCAGAATTCCAGGCAAACTTATGCCCCAAACGAGAGAGAATAACATGCTCGAGTTTTCCACTGAACCGAAAACAAAAGCGCGGGGGATTTAAAAAACAAACATATGACAAACTTTTGAGTGCATAGATTTTCTTAAAATAAGAAATATTTAACCGGCTATAATATAAAAGTATAAAGTCCAATAAGAATTTTAAGTAAACTTAACTAGTTTAAAAACTCTTAATTCTTGAATTAAAAATAGTTATAATAACTTATAGTACAACTTATTGCTTTATTTTTTATATTAATTATGATATTATTAACTATTAAAAATGTCAAAAAAATTAAAAGCTTTGGAAGTATTATAAAACTTAAAATCTGTCAACTTTAAACTTATAAATTTAAAAAGTTTTGTTGACTAACAATAAAAATGCACAAAAATAAAGAAATTAAAATTAGCTAAGTAAAAGCTTACAAAATCCAATAAGCTTTTTGGCATCCGAGAAAATAAACACAGTCCAATAAGAACCCCTCGAAATGGGCAGCATTGCTTGTCTGTTATTTTCCGTACTGCCCATTACGGGTTCTTATTAGATTCTCATGGATTTGATGGGCATTACTGTCAGTGCTGCCCATTGCTCACTGCCAATTGCCCATAGCTAAATAACCTCTTGCTAACTGACAAAAGAAAACTGTTCTGAAACCCAAAACCCAACGGTTTTTCAATTGACTTCAGATTTTACGACCTCTTATTTGCCGCTAACACCTCCGCTAATCAGCGCTATCTAATCACTCGTGACTGCTAATGGCCAATTGACAGGACGCAATTTCGGCAAAGCCAATTAGTCTCTGTCTCTCATTTACAGCACTCGACAAATAAATATTGCGGCAGGCGAGGCAAAATACCTTGCACATTCGCATTCGATAAGATAAATCTGCGCAGTCTGTGTTGCCATTGTAAACGCTTCTTGAGTGGACTTCCTCCACATTTCACACCCATTGCGAGTTAATCGTGTGGAGCTGATAACCGCCGGAATATCTGTTTAATATATATGGCAGGTTGACTTAACCCACCCAGATCGTCAGAAATAAAGGCAACTGATGGGCAGAATGCTCGTTTAAAGGTCGCTTAATGTTCCATGCCCAACGAATTGATAAGGGCAGAAGTTCTCAGCTTGGTAAGTACACAGAACAAATCAATTTTGGGATAAATAATGTGAAATAGATTAGGGAAATTATTACTTTTTTATTTTTTCTTTATTATTTTTTTTTTACTTATTTCTGTAAGAGGGATGGGATTACCAAATTCATCGGCATATTGTCAACCCTTTATTCATTAAGACGTCCGAATCGATAATCATTAGCCCCATTATCAGCCGATCAAAACGATCATGACACACAAAACGCAAATCTATCGGCGGGATGACGTTTCTTATATGGCAGTTGTTTCAGTTCCAGTACTACAATGCCTGTTTATCGCCTGGGTTCTGTGCTGAGTTTTGAGTTCTGAGTTCTGTGCTGAGCGGTTCGGCGAGAGAGCGGCGATGAAATCCGTATAGTTTGGGGAGTCCAACGTGGCAGAGGCCTGCGTTCAGTTGGCTCCAGCACTCAACCGTCGACGGGTTCGTTCCGCTCCGCTCTGCTTTTTTAGCCTTTCGCTTGGCATTCTAGTGGTAAATCTGGGATCCACAAAATCTTCGGTCACGACATCTTTTTGGTTAGCAGTGGCATATAGAACCTGTTTGGCCGCCTCGTGGATTTTTTGGGGCAGCAGGTTCTCTGTTTCTGTAGTGAATCCACTGAAAATCCAGTGAAAATCCCCATCAAACAAATGTAAGTGTTGCCGAGGCGGATTCATTGAAACTTAATTGGCATCGATTGATGAAAGCAACGCGATCCACAAGCCAAACGATCAGCTGTGGCCCAGTCCCACTTTCCTCACCAGCAGATTGGATGGATGGGACACCACCGAGAGAACAGGGTCAACAATCGCCGCTTTCTTATCGGTTATGTTAGGTTATATATACGGCTATATGTTTAGTATGAGTATTAGCTAGCTGCCGATGGCAAGGCCATCTTCGAGGCACAATTATAAAAGTAATAAACAGCAAAGGAAGGTTAGAGGCCCACACCGAAGCTTCGAATACCCTTGTAGAACCATTTCCATATAGGAATAATCCGGTTATGCTCGAGTTGGCAAACAAGTTTATTAGTTTATGGGCTGCTGACCCACGTTTTTTTGTAATCATAAATATGCTACTTTATATAGCAACTGAATAACGTTCATAAACAAGTAAACATACAATAGTTGTAAAGGTAAGAGTATAAATCATTTGGTTGTTATGCTAGCCATGTCATTTGGTGATTTAAACTCCGTTTAATAAGTGTTTTTAGCTGAAATATGATTCTCATACTTATTATCTTGGCAACAGCAAATGACAATCTTTTGTGTACAGAGCAGTTTAGCCGGGCAAATATACAAACCCTATACTTTATACCGGCCTTATAAAACTTGAGCGCTATGCAAAAGACAAGCAACAAATGAGTAATCAAAAGTGATGAATTGTTTGTTAAGTTTTCGAGGCGAATTTGCATTACCCTTTTATGGGGTAATGTTGGTTATCTGATTATCTGAACAGGAAGTGTTTTTCCGCCGTGAGAATGCCGGCATATGGCCAAAATTAAAAAATTCTCCCCTCTTTCCAGCAGAGATAAGTGAAAATCTCACCCGCGAAACAATAAAATGGATGATCAGCACGGGAATCTCCGAGAAAATGGTAGAGAAACCAATGGAAAGCAGGCCAGGATCGTTTCGGGATTGGATCGCCCGCTGAAGACTCCTCCGCCAGGGGAACAAACGAGGGCGGTGAGACGTCAGGTGATCGCTGTTATCCTGGCCAACATAGGTGTCTTCTCCACCGGAATGACCTTGGCCATGCCCACTGCCACCCTGCCTCAGCTGAAGGACGTCACGCAGCCTGTCCATCTGAATGATTCACAGGCCTCCTGGTTCGCCTCGGTCAACGCTCTATCGGCACCTCTGGGCGGTTTACTCTCCGGCTTTTTACTGGACAGAATCGGACGAAAGAGGTCCTTGATAGTGCTCAATGTGCTCACTATCCTAGCCTGGATTCTGCTGGCCACTCCCAGTTCGAGCGACTCGGAAGCCTTCTTTTGGCAGCTCATCGTCTCGCGATTTATGCTGGGTAAGTCGGGGAATTTGTTTGATGTGGTGTTTAATATATTTTAATATTTTGTACAATATGTGCAATTTTAATGTTCTATAAAACTGTCAGCTTAATTCCAAGACTCAATGTAAAGATGTACACTTGCTGAGTTTATATTTCAAACGGATTTTTATTTTGAAAGACAGCTAACACTGAATAACAAAGGTGAGGACCAATGGGTCGAGGAAAAGAGGCGCGTTAGAATATAAATAAATAAGAGTTCTTGAAGATATTTTTGAATTCTCTAGTGGCGTAATTATTCTTAATATAGTATTGATAGTATTTGACCTTATGCTCAGATATTTTGATTAAAAATTGTGTTTTTTAGAGTTTAGAGTTTAGAGTGTGACACAAAACAATGAAACGCTACGAGTACATACAATCTTCACTCTTAAAATGTCATACCATTTAATATTCCCTACTCTAAAATTCCCCTTTTATTTCAGGTATCGGCATGGGATTGGCCAGTGCTCCGCCAGGAGTGTATGCAGCCGAGATCAGTGTGCCCAAGACGAGGGGCAGTCTCATACTGGGCACCTCCATTTCAGTGGCCGGTGGCATAACGATTCTCTACGGAATTGGCTACTGCATTCGGGATGACTTCCGGCTGATTGCTCTGATCTGCTGTGGCTACCAACTGGTGGCGCTGCTCTGCGTGCTGCCCCTTCCGGAAAGCCATTGCTGGCTTCTGGCCAAAAAGCGGGTGACGGAGGCTAAGAGATCACTGAACTACTTCCGAGGCTTCAGCAAATCGGGTAAGTTTCTCCCCGACCTCTGCTTTCACCTTCAAAAGGGGGTTGAGAGTGGGGATATCTGATTCTAGACCTACGTGAATCGCTTTCGTCAGAATTATAATGTCTTTATGACTGCAAACAAATCAAAGTCAAGTGGCGCCTTGTATCAAGTCGAGCAATCAAATTATGATAACCTATAACAGGCTTATCTTTTTGCATTTTTTTTGGGAAAATTAAAAATGATTGCTGACGTTTCACTATGATTGCTTTTAATAATATACCTATGTTTACCCACAGATGAAATCACCCACCCTCTGGTGCTCGAGGAATTCCAGATCCTGCAGAAATCCCTGCAGCAGCGGGACGCCGAGGTGAAGGAGTCCTTCTGGCGGAGTCTCAAGGAGCCGGAGGTCCACAAGCCACTGCTCATCCTGATGAGTCTTTTTGCTTTCCAGCAGCTAACCGGAATCTTTGTGGTCATCGTGTTTGCCGTGCAAATATCCTCGGAGGCGGGCATCGAAATCGATCCCTTCATGTGTGCCGTGCTCATTGGATTGGCTCGCCTGGTCACCACCTGTCCCATGGGATACATCCTGGAGTTGTGGGGTCGTCGGAGGGCAGGCATCATCTCCACCGTGGGCATGTCCATCTGCATGTTCCTCTTGGCGGGACACAGTCAGTTGGACTTCCTGAAGGCGGTTCCTTACCTCCCGGTGGTCTCCATCGTGGGTTTTATAGTACTCAGCACTCTGGGCTTGTACACACTGCCCTTCTTCATGATCTCCGAGCTCTTCCCGCAAAGGGTCAGGGGTCCTGCTTCGGGACTCACGGTGGCCGTGGGCATGTTCATCTCCTTCGTGGTCCTTAAGACCTATCCCGATCTCAAGAAGTCCTTCGGAGTGTCCAGCTGCTTCATCTTCTTCGGGGTCATGGCTGTGCTGGCCCTCATCTTCATCTACTGGGCTCTCCCGGAGACCCGGCGTCGCACCCTTCTGGAGATCGAGGAACAGTTCCGCTCGGGTCGCAGTCGCAAATCTCAGAACCAGGCTGATGTCGAAATGAAGGAGGTTTTTGTCCGCAGGCCGGAGGAGTAATGTTTTCGGGAATAAATGGGTTAAGAGAGAAATAAATTAACTTAAGTAGAACCCGTCGAGTGCTTAGTACTGTGATAGACAATAAACAAAAGCCACAAGACAAAAAATAAAAACAAGTTTGGAAGAACTGATTTAATGATTTGGGTCACCCATTAGAAGGACTTTCTAATTGTATCTGAAGAATGTGTAGAATTTTTTTAATTTTAATGGGTTTATAGTAGATCTTTTCGATATTTTCCATATTTTGAGATATGGATTCGATAATATCGATACTTTGAAGAAGAAACACAACTTAAATATCAAGAAATAGAAAACTGTCGAAATTTTTTTAAGCTCTAGTTTCTAGCATTTCCATAATATTTTAGATAAATAAAATACAAATATTTTGTCAAACGCGGAACAAATCTTTTTAAAACTTTATAAATGAATTAGTATAAAAATAAATTATAAATAATCCAGTTAACGTTAAACCATATTGAGTGGAAATTCCTGAAGTTTACTTTTATACTTTGTTTACACGAAGTAAGCAACGTGGAATCAAGTAGATTAAGTCAACCTAGACGGTTCACACAACTGATAAGACTCCGGTAAATGCCTACAAACCTGCTCAAAAACACATTCTTACTCATTCACTTATATTCTCACGCACCTGCTCTCTGAGCAGCGTTATAAATTAGAGGCACAAACACCTATTTTACCCCGATCCAACCGCTCAATCATTCACGGAACTGAATCAGTACGTTGCTCTCGAACTAATCTCTTTGAAAGTCAAGTTCGTGGCCAACGTCATTCGATTTGCGATCGAAGAGAACGAGAATGAATATCTGACAACTTTTAGTGCGAATGAGAGAAAAATATAAAGCTTAGCTGACAGTCTGAGTCGGATTTGCATATTAAAACTGAACGATTATGCAAAACTTCTGTAGGCGCGTCTGATATATACAGATGGGAAACGAACAGAATCTTTAATTAATTAACCGTAGGTGAGGAAAAGGATTACGTAGGTAATTTAATCAGAAAGCGGTTCCGCTTTTACTGGGTTTCAATCAAATTTTTATCGTATTAAGACCCGGTATAGGAAGTGGTGTAAAATTAAATTGTAATAATAATACTTAAACTAGGTTTAAGCTAACAAACTTTTTATATTTTCGATAAAGTTAGCTAGTGCTTATTGGGTACCTACATTTAAATACACTTTATTTAACTTAAATAAAATGTTTATCGCATCATTTATTATTGCTTCGCCATCATTTAGTATACCCAGTTTTAAGGCGATGCTTAATTAATTAAAAGCTGATTTAAATCAGTCTCAGTCTGCTTGTGTGGTCGAATTGAAATATTTCATTCAATACTTACTGACTGCTATTTAATGGAAGCGTAGCAGATGCAATTGCCAGCAATTAAGTTTAGTGCCGATCTGCTTTATGGTAATGTTAATGGTAATGTCGATGATGGACAGCTTGCTCCCAGACTCGCTTCGGAAACTCAGCCCCACATTTTGCCAGGGGCATCCAAAAAATGAAGGAAAAATCTGTTATGCTTTGGTCGTTAACGAGCAGGAGTTTCAGTTCAGTTCAGTTTCGGGAGGTTCTCCAAGATGCGTGTGCCTCGAAATTCAAGCTCCCTTCGAAGAGCGCGTTAAAAGCGCATTTTGCAGAGGCATCCGTCATTCAGTTCCCTTTCCAGCTATCGATTCACATTTCAACACTCGAAGAAAATATATATTAGGTCATAAACAAACTAAAAAAAATCTATTTTTATTCTCTCTATTACTTCGTAATACTTTTTATATATTTATAGGAATAATAAATATCAGTAAAATTCTAAAGTATATTAATAAAAACTTGAGGTTACTGTGCAAGTGCAAGCGAAATATGTTAAGTATTTTCCTAACGTTTCTTAAAAATGTTGTATTATATTCAACCTGAACGCTCGTTAATATATTTTAACGAAATTATTCACGATTTGACCCCATAAAGCTAACTTCTTTATGGTTATAAAGGATGTTTGAAAGTTTCCTTTATAATCAGTTTTTTAGAGTGCAAATCATAAGAGGTAATTGATAAATTGTAAGATAACCTAAGTACCGTTTTAGTGTATTTTTCCCTCAGTGTATCACGTGGTTTGCTTGAGGCGTCGAGGCGTACGTTTATGTAATTATAATAAGTTTTCAATTTTATGGCTTAATAATGCGGTGGGCAGCGGGCACCAGGCAGGTAGCTCCTTCTCCTCCTTCATCGCCTGGTCAGGACCATCTTAAAGTGCATCCGTCTCCTGTTGGAAGTTGGAGCTGCCCCGTCATTAGGCGACAAGCGTTTAGGCCATGTCAGAAGCGGAGCAGCCGAAAAACGGACAAATTGTTTTGGGGCGATTAAGTCAACAAGACGGCGCTAACATGGTCGAGATGCTTAAGTTGAATGAACTGATGCTGGACGGGATAATGCCGAAAATTGATGAGCTGCAAATGTGCGAACATTAAAGTTTCCGCTGGCAATGTGCCCCATCCTTGCCGGATAAATCCCCCATCTCCTGATTTGAAATCGCAGCAACACCTGCCGTGAATTTCGCATTTGGACGCATCAATTACCAAACTTCAACGGAGAAGAGATAGAAATGTCAACAGCCCGATGGAGAAAATTAATGGGACGTAACGATTGCTGTGTCAACAGGAATGGGATATGTAATACCCAATTCCAACCGCAGTGACATATGCGTAACTCGAAACAAAACAGCAATCTGTGCGGTTTCCAGGGGTTTCCGTGGGCTATTCAGCGATGTGTAAACCGCATCGGGGTGGGATGATCACCTATATCACAGCATCCTTGACGATCATCCCATCGCTCGCTCTTCGGATCTGTCATCATTATCCTCACAAACTCAGCACGACGCGTGTTTTGTGTTCGGGGTGGCGCATTTGCTTTGTTTTGATTCGAATTTGATTATGTTTATAAGGCAATAAATTAGAAAATCAGCACCACAACCACTGCGTGTCCCAAAAACTATGACTATAACCGCTTTGTAGCGCTTTGTTCCCGTTGACAATGCATCGAGTCCATTAAACGGGTAATTTATGGTTGGCCCGGTACTCGACTTGAATCCTCTTTTAGGGACCTGGGTGGGTCCTGATCCTACCCCTTACTGTCCATTTTCCCCCCCGCCTTAAATGACATTGTTAAAACGCCCCAAGTGTCTGCAATTTGTTGCTGCACTTAATGTAGTTATAATTTTTAACAGCACTGCACTTTTATCCTGGATCCAATGCGAGCATTAAGTCCTAACCCTTTTCCCGATCGCCGGGGCTGATTGCACACCTTGAGGTTCGGGGTTCGGTGCTCGTCAGCAAATTACAAGTGCGCCAAAAGGGGATCGAGGGTTCCATCTAAAAGTTCGCGGGATCTGCGGATCAGGGTTCTTACGCAGCTGCAACTCGGGAAGAGAGTATGTTTTTAGACAGTTAAATACCCGGTAAAAGTTAAGAACTATAACATCACTAGATGTTAATCTTTTAAAGCTATTTCCGAAGTTTAAAAAACTGTGTTCCCACGATATATTTCATTAGACATTCACAATATCACAACAAATGAGATTTTATTTGGCCTAACAAATTATCAAGTTAACGAATGTGGTATTAAAAACTCTTAAAAAACCTAAACTGATTGATGTATAACTAATGCTATACCATAGTACTTGAAATTCCGAAAGATTAACAGGCCCCTAAAATAAATCTTTCAAATCCATAATTCATTTCGAATTTACCGGCTGTATCATAACTCCAAGTGAGCACGATATACCCTTTTCCAGCCGAGAGTACCTGTTATAAAATATACACACTGCCAAAAACCGATCATCGCCCATCGATCAGCGAGGTGGGCAAAAACCAGAAGTGATTTTTGGCAGCATTACAAATTCGGCACTTTCAGGGGGCAGTGGCAGGGGGTTTTTAAGGAGGGTAAGGGTCTTGGCCAGAACCTGTGTTTACCTTCGATCCGATAATCGCAGCGGCAGCCGGGAGGTTTCCTTCTCACTCCTTTTTAAAGTGTCTGGCAAGGTGTGCAGACTGCCACATTAGCAGCAGCGATGCGATGGGCTTAACTTGGACACCTTGAGAGGTGGAAGTTCCCTGGGTTTCTTACCTAGCCAACTAGCTTAGGGTAACCCTATCTCATTTCAAAACATCGCTAATCGAAGGGGAGGTGAGAAGCGATGAAATCGAAGAACCAGGAATGCCGCAAGATTTATGAACGAATGGGCAATGGGCGATGGGCGGTGGGCGTTTCCACCTCAACTTACAACCCGGTGTAAGTACTTTGGCCAGACTTTAATTTTTCAATTAGTCGAGCTACCGTATTTGACTTTTGCTCCTCGCCAGCCGAGTTATCCGCAGTTATCCGCAGCCAGCAAGACGACCACCGCCAAAGGGGCCAACGAACTGGATGATCATCTGGGTTTGGGATTGGGATTGGGTTTGGGATCGCCACTCGGATTCACTGGGACCTCACTGGGGCATCGTAAAAATATTGCATTTAGCAGGCAGAGCGGCGGACGCAAACGCTTTCCGCATTTTACGATTACGATGCAGTAGAAGCAAAAGCAGCAAAAGATTCGAAGTGCCAAAGTTTTATGGTTACTTTAACACTTTTGCTGGACCGGGTACTTGGGATATGGGAACTGGGAACTGGGCTCGAGGAGCTGGCAGGAAACGGAGGAAGCTCGATGGCCTAGACAAGCGTATAATTGATTTGGATTCTATGATGTGTGCTGGCCGATTTCCAGAGGCGTTGCGAGCCATAAAAACCATAATTACAGTCACACACAAGTGGAAGAGGTGAGATCAAGGAGTTGCTTAAGATGGGTTTTTAAAGTCGATGGGTTTTTAAGTGGCTTATAGATAAGTTCCTGCGATGTTGAACATGTAGCATGTAACATATGTTGTAACATATGTATATATACTTAACATTATATTTAAATTAAAGCAGAAAGAAAAATATTTCTTAAATTGAAAAAGGGTTTATAAAAAAGATACTTCGAAACATAATTATCTTGGTTTAAAAGCAGGGAAAAAACAGAACTTTTAAAGGTTTCTTGACTTTCTTGAAAGCGAAGTCTCCAAAGGGTT